AATTACATTACACCAAAGAATCTTTATAAAGAACCTTTACCATCATCACCATCATTCTTTGCAATGAAGAAAGTAATAAAAAAAATAAAAACAGTTTAAAAAGTTCAAACTAGTTTGAAGATATTTTAATAAAATTTAAATTTAAAGAAATGTAAATCAGAATGACTTAAAAAATTATCTTTTATGTATAATGTCATCAATTGTTTAACATCGGGAGTGAGCAATTGTTCTTCTTGAGGGTTGTAAAGGTTCCTTCTTAGAATATTAAATTTTTATCGTCCTGGTTATTGTTAGTATCATAGTCATTATCATTTTCATCTTTGCGTTATCATTTTCATCATCTTCGTCGGCATCTTCATCACTATCATCAACTATCATAAACTTCACATGATCATTGATACCACTAATGATTACATTACAGCAGTGAACTTCACACACACTTACACATAACTCTCTCTCTCTCTTTCTCTTTTTCTTTATTTCTTTATTTCTCTCTCTCTCTCTTTCTCTCTCTTTTACTCTCTTATTCACACACAAAACATTTTAAATTTCAAAAACTTCCTGAGAAAATCGTGTTTTGCCATTTTAATTTATTCACACGCCATAGAAATGTACAGGAGTTACTTAGCGGAGGAGAGAGGTCTCGGTCTATAAAGTTATTCCACCATGGTTCACACAGCAACAAGAATGGCATGAACAAAATAATGAACAACGAGAACAACCTAAAATTCAAATAAGTTCGTTTCGTTCGTTCGTTCACCCAATCACTCAAGTTAATGTTAAAAGTCTAATTAGGCTTGCAGTTCCTGGAAATGGTGCCCCACTCATTACTTCAAATTTATGCTAACTCGCTTTAAACAGCATGCACGGGATTTTGTGTGTGTGTGTGTGTGTGTGTGTGGTGCGTGTGTGTGGTGCGTGTGTGTGGTGCGTGTGTGTGCGTGTATGTGTGTGCGATAGAAACGACGATGCGAATTTTATTTTGGAAATTCTTGAAATAAAATGAATAGCATGGCTTCATTTAGACAATTACTCTCAGTCGTAACATTAAAATAACATTTTCCGTCAGTAAAAATTAGAGAAAAAGAGAATTTAATTTATGTTACTGCTTAGCTGGTTACGTGTGGGCGACATCATTTGATGTTGCTAGAAACTATTTACTCTTCAATCAATCAAATTATTAAAAGATAAACCGAACGGCTTAAGCAAAAAGAATACACACATATAAACAAAAAACGCACTCCTTCACACACACACACCACACACACGCATACACACAAACACACATACATACACCCAGTAAAACGAATTCATTCACACACACGCACTCGCCTTTAGATATAACCCAAGTAAAACTGTTTCATATTTGGTGGCAGTTTTTCAAGTTTGTTTTGTTTCTTAATTCGCAATTAGCATGACAAAAAGCACTAAATTATGTATAAAAAAAATAATAAATTTAATAATATGATCATCATTAAATTTAATTAAGACGAACGTTTGCCAGTTTTTATTTCAAATGCCAAGTATGAAGGAAATGCCATAAACCAAACAGCCATTGACACAACTGAACGAACAATCACTGCATGCAAGTAAAACCAAAAATAACAAAACTATTAATTTCTTTCATTCATATCTTCAATAATACAGGACAATTATTTATTGACAGAATCGTCACCATAGCAACAATTATACATATGACAACATATAGAAATATGCACACATATACGTACATTCACAAACAGACAAACACAGACACACACACACACAGATACACACACACACACACACACACAGATACACACACACACACAGACCATAGACTCACTCTCTCTCACACACACACACACTAATGCATATGCAATTCTATTTCACATACTTTTATAAAAATTCTATATGAATGTGTATTAGTATTAAATACTAAATTGCGTATATTTTTATATATCAGTTGGTATAATATACTATAAATATGTTACGAAAACGAAGCTAACAAAAGAAGCTAACAATAAAAGTTATGTGGAGATTTCATTAGATAATGTAACGGTATGTAACGTAAGAAGCTCCTTTAGTCAGTTAGGTAGGTCTCATAAGCCATAAATTAACGTTGTAGTCTGTTCGAGAGTTATTTTTTCATCCTAAATTTTTGTTTACAAAGTACAACAACAACAAATATAATATTGTTAATAATAATAACAATAATAGTAATAACAATAATAATAATAACGTAATAATAATTTTGTTTTGTTGAAATACTTTTAACAGACGGCACATAAACTAAAGATCTCTTATAAAAGATCAGTATGATAAAAAAAAAACTAGCGACACGGCCATTATACGTTATTCAGCTTTACACATATACGTGTTATATATGTTACTGCTTGTACATTACATTGTATTAATTTTTGTAGTATTGATGGTGTAGTATTGTTAGAGTACTATTATTATTGTACTATATGTGAGTGAATGTGAACTAATATTATAGAGTTATATATCGTCGTGTTATATCGTACAGCTGAAGTAAGACGAAAATTGATAAGATCAGTTAATTTTTACTATATACCTAGGCAAATGCTGATCTGATGAATAGCGATATTTTTGTACAGGCATCTGTAGCGATGATTTGTTGCTAACGGTATTATAACTCAAAATTGACTTCGAGACTGACTCAATCAAGATAGTTTAATATTTTTATGTATTTATATATTTAAATTGTTTGTTATTGTATTTTTGTAAAGTATTTGTTTTACGTATTTTTTATTACTAAATTATCGGTCTGTTAATGTGTTTGTTTTAATATGATTAAAGTATGAGTAATTTTCTGAATCGCACGAAACAAAATAGATTGAAAATGTAGAGTATATACGTGTATTGGTGCATATTAAATATAGCAACTAGATTGGTGTGGTAGGCTCATGTAACAGTAATTCCTCAAACGAAGGGTCATGCTTTTTTAAGGCGGGCAAAAAACTTTTAGATTCAAGGTCTCTTATATTATATATTTTACCTCTTGGTTTTTTGATTTGCTATTAACCAAACCATTGTTTTGTGACGTCATCACTCAAAACAGCCTCAAACATGGCGTGTTCAGTTGAAAACGTTGACACCATTTTAAATTCAACATATTTAATTGAGATAGCATTTTTATGAATCGACATTAAATTTATTCGATAATTTTTCTCTGTAATAAATTCAAACGAAAATAAATTTGAAAGAACATAGATGTTATATCAGGCCTGCCTGATGTTGCACAGTGCCCAATCATTTAATCTTAAGTGAACAAAGTTATAAAAAAAATTATTACTCAGTTACTCAAGCTCGCCTAGATGACACGTACGTACGTATTCACGCAGTATATTAAGTACGTGTGCATAATTATTACTGTATAATTATGCACACGATTTTATACAAGTTATGAATATTCCGACTTTAACCGATGCACATTACTGAAGAAAATTATTAATAATTATATTATATTAATATAATTATAATTAGCAGACGTGGAGGCATGACTTAACGAAAACAATAGCTGCCTTGTTCGTATATGACTTGATTGAATGCAGCGTCGTGTGAATTAGTTGCACGTACGAGTATGTGCCATGAGACCAGCTGCTCTCTTTTGCTCTACTGTTTTTGCTGTTTGCTTTAAAATTGTTTGCCGTTCAAATGAACTTATTGACTTTATGAGTTTGTTCAAATTATACTAGTTTAAAAATATTACTGACTACATTCAGCAAACAAGCGTGAAAATAAAATAAGAGTAACTGAGCGAATGCATTAACTTATTTTATGTCGTTAATTTAAACAAACGTTCGAGTGTTTAACGTGGTTGTTATGTTCTCATTTCAAGTGTTTGATGTCCTTAATGTGTTTATCTCGTTTAAAATTCTTAGGGAGGCGGAATATTTATAGCTACCTTAACTTACAGAACTCCGTACATGATTTTGTGGGTACAAAAGGTAACCCACGTGGACGGTGTGCTTCTGCTTCTGTTGACTCCATGGGTTTGAAATTGTGAGCTTAGCAAAATTCGCAAAATTAGTTTCTACACAAAGCTAACAACAACGGAAGATAATAACTACATGATTAATTTATTAAATACTAATCAATTAGTTTTACATAAATATTCATACATACAAACATCAGCAAACATAAAATATTAGATAGATACAAACACATGTTATACAATTGCATAAGCTTGTGTGTGTATGTTGTACGAGTATGTCGACAGCGCGATCAATCTACTGTTGAAGATTTAGAAGCCAACATTCTTCGCATTCACTTTATTTCTACTCGTTCATTTGATACATTGACAGTATGCACTGTGCGGTACACTGTGCGTATGTTTGCTGACATGTGTGTGTTTGCTTGTTGTGGTAAGGATGAGGAGGATGACGAGTTCATGTGATGATGTGCTGCATAGCATTATGGCATTTTGTATGTTTCTTAAAGTTGTTTACATGGGTTTACAAATGATTGAGTGATCTTTTATGCATATACAAGCAGATTGAAGCTGCACATTTAATCCGCTATACAAATACGTACGTGTTGTTGTAGTTCGATTGAATTGCTTACTGACTGCGTTCAACTATTTTAAGAACACGCAGTTAATTAAATTCGTTTTGACTAGTTATATTTTAGTGTCATTTAAGGATTCAACAGATTTCATTTCGATTGGATTTCATATTTTTATTTACACTTTCTCGGAAAATATCTGCAAATATGAAAAACAACAATTAAAAATGAAAGTATTTATTTATAAATCATAAAAAACAAAATATTTACGTCACATAAAATAACATTAACTATCAATACATTAACATTATTACTTCACTTAACATTTCAGGGGAGCAGAATGCTGAAGTAGTCTTAAAAACGTCCTCTAACAATTCCGTTTTAGCTCTTATAAGCAACGACATTATCATTCATTAACAATTGATGCAACAAATTTCAAAGTTTCTGACAAACATCGGTAAATAATATTTTCAACCTAAACTACCATTGAAATGTCGGCAACATCGCCCATATCGAAACAGCTGATTACTGTGGAGGAGAGGCAACAAACAATAAGAGAACAACTTCATTCCAGAATGAACCAACGGGATTTGGAGTGGAAGCAGGAGGTGGAGCAACTAAAAAAACAATTCTTCACGGATGGTTCTGTTACTGGGATGATGGACAGAAATCGATTTTACAGTAGTGGCAGTGATAATTGGGGAGTTAATAACAATAATAATAATAGAGAAAATGGTTTTTATTACTACAACGACACAAAAGCAACGAGTAGTAACGGTGGCAACTTTAGAGAAAATAATGTTTACTCGCCCGATTCCATTAAATCCTCATTCACTCCACCTATTTCGCCAGATTTGCAGCACCATTTCCAGCAACAAAATTTTGACAAATTGTCTTCTTCCACAAATCAACAACAACAACAAAATAAAAATTATTATTACCAACAGCAACCACAACAACTACAGCAGCAGCCATTTCAGCAGCAACAACCACAACAATTTACAGTACTATCGAAAAGACCAACACCTTTTTCCAGCAATTTAAGCAGGTTTTCCCACATTGGCGATATAAACCCACGTTCCAACGTTATTTCGCCAACAAACTTTATTTCGAACTCATCGTCGTCGTCGTCATCATCTTCGTTATCTCCAGTTCTGTTTAGACATGAATTTGAAGTGAAAAATTTTCTGCCAGAAGAAATTAAAGTGACGACGGAGAAAGGGAAACTTATCGTCTTTGCATCACACAAGGAAACTGGTTGGCCGTTTTTACTTTTCAACGTCAATTTGTTTGTTAGTTATGTTACATGTAGCTTATTATGCCGTAATATCCTGTTATTGATTTTCTTAAATAGATGTATTATCGAACTAATTATTTTAACTTTTGGTCATCATAAAATTTTATTTATAGATGTTTAAATTTTTATATAAATCTTGAAGTCAGTGATATTTAATTAGCGGCAACAGCTTCGATAATGAAAGTTAAATTTCTACTACTTTGTTTCTTATTTTTTTTAAACCCACACTGTCATTGAGTCATTAAAGTTATTTAAACAAGAATCTCCTTTTTATTTTTATTTTATAGGTTTATAATATTTTTAATATATAAAACGCGTTGGCTAAGTTGGTAGGTCTTATTATTATGTATGTTAAATTGTGGAACACCTTTAGAATTGTAAATTCATGTCAAGTGGTTTGCGTTTGATAGAATATTTAATTTACATAGCCTGTATGCGGTTTTTAAGACGGTAACAGCGGTGATCGTATGACAACTAAGGTTTCCTGGCACAATTGTGAATAGATGTTGGGCTGCTAATTAGATCGCTTGTCGAAATTTTGCCTAGAAAAAATGTCTAAATTATAGCCTACCGTGCAATGTTATATAGAATAATTAAAATAAACATAAATAATAAAAAAAATTTTTGATAATAAAATTTTATTCAACCATTCAGGATTGAACAAATCAGTAAGCAAAGAATTCAAACGAACTGTTGACATTCAAAATGACCTTGACCCATCTCAACTGTTGTGCACACTGACTCAGGACGGAAAACTCATTGTGGAAATATCAAAGAGTCCCCCGTCGTCCAAACCCTGCCAGTTCGGATTTGACGATGTCAGGCCGTCAGCCCCCACACTCCTTGCTAACAATAACTTCAATTTATCGGCTGTGGATAATTATCTCAGCAAAAATTCGTCATTTGTTTCAACCAGGTTTAGACCGATCGAGACTCAAGAAAATAAATTTCCAAGCGTCAGTAATCAGCAACAAATGTCTCATCAAGTTGTCTTCCTCAACAGTGAAACAACTTCTTCAGACATCAACCACCAACCAACACTTTCGACATTGCAATCCAATAAAAAGGACAGGTACGCTGATCACAAAAACGAAGGTTGCAACAAAATTAATACAAATAAAAACTACATCAACGGCCTTTCATACACATTTCCACATAAAAAAACGTCATTGCCCGATTTGATTGATACCACAAACCACAACATCGACAACTATTCTCAGAATTGCACAAAATTCCAATGTGACAATGACAGCAGCAGCAACTTCTTTACATCAAGAAATAAAACAGACGCCTTGCACACAATCGAGCAAACACACTCAGCGGATTATTACAACCATCAAAACTCGCCGAACGACTTAGACCAGTTCACGGAGATTTTAAAACTCTCTGACGATCAGAATCTTACGTACGAAAGCGGTGTAACGGTTATTCGTTCAACAAACAGACCATTCCATGTCGGTTTGAATGTTGGTTTCGGTGTCGATCCGAATGATATGAAAATCGACGCAGTTGACGGGATATTATTGGTCAGAATCAGCAACAGCTGGAATGCCAATGATCATGACACTAAGAAAACCACACGGATGTGGAAGGTTCACCTACCTGAAGAGTTGGATCCCGTCAATATGAACGCCCACCTGACCGATGAAGGATTACTTTTGCTGGAAGAAACCTGCTGAACAACCACTGCACATGATATGAAATCAAAATTAATAAGATAGCTTATTTTACTAAAATGTTTGAATTGTTTGTAAGGTGTAACGTAAACAACAATTATATCATTTATTTTATGTAATTTTAAAATTTAATAATGTATATAATTTTAATTTATTTTTTCAAATTCACTTACTTTTTATTTTTTTGGATATTTTGAAATTTTGTGTTTTCATCATGAATATTCGATAAAAATAAACACATGGAAGCTTATAAAATTGTCCTTCGATTGAAAATAAAAGGCAATACGTTTAGTTTAAAAAGTTTTTGAGAACCAACGCTCAATAATAATATAGAGATTTGTTTTTGTTGAGACAGTGAAAAGTTCTTAAAACAAAAATTGACTTTAAACACAATTTATTTTAAGTTTTTCAGTTTCTCACAAAAATATACTATCATATAACACAATTTGCATCAAATTTGTTACTACTGTGAAGTTTAAAATCAGTAAGTTATAAATTTAAAAAATATATTGTTTATAACAAAAGATTAAAAACTATACACGAAATGGTTCTATAAACCTTTTATTAATTACAAACATGTATTAACCAACATATCTAAGTTATGTAAAAATAAATTCGTTTATATGTAATTATGTTATATGTGCATTCGTTAATTAAAAAACGAATAAATAAATAAATATAATGTAATTACAATATTTCGATATTAATCATACGCATATATATAATTATTCGTAAAAATTATTCGAAAAATGGTTATGCGAAAGAATTATGATTTTTTGAAAGTTATATTGTGAGTTGATTTGAATTCTTCTTTCACTTGGCGAGGCGGCGATTTCTCACGGGGTGGCGTGAAACGAACAGGCTGCAAAAAATACATAACATGTTGATTATTTGTAGATTCAATTTAAATGGAAATTTTAAATAACAACTTTCATCTATTTAATAGTTAGAGGAAGTTTAGAAATCGTACCTCTGGCTTTTTCGTCTTTACGGTAGGATTAGTACTTTCGGCTTCTTTTTGTGACCAAAGTTTCCTTACGTTTCTGGTGGCGTGGGCTGATATGATTTCTGGCTGAAAATCTGCTTCCCTCGCCACATCTTCCCGTGTAACTGGGTTGTTCTCAAACACGCCTGCCTCCAACACCTTGCAGTTTATTAGGTTGGAATTAGAAGTTAGAGTAAGTGTTTTTATTTGTAAAGGTGATGTATTATTTGTGTATTAACTTATGTAGCAATGCCAAATTTGTTACACGTTAAAATGATTCACATGATGCTAAAAATTTATTGATTGAAACATTTTCAAAAAAATTATGAAAATAGAAAATTTAAATTTGTTTACCTGTTGAATTTCATTTTTTCTTGAAGGCTGAGGGTCATTCTCGTAAACTGCCGGCCCATCTGCCAACTCAAAGACAGATTGTTTTTTTACATTTTGGTTTGCGTCAGATTTTGGTTTAGTCCAGAATCCAGCCATATTTTTAGCATATCCTTTTCTCAAAACAGTAAAGTTGTCTGCATAATTTTCATCATCTTCACGAGCAACGCCTTCTCTTTTTACAGGCTCATTTTCAACTACACATTTTTCATTCGAATTAGTGTCATAAATGTTGATGGGTTCCTTTCTGGAACCTTGTACTTTATATTGACCTGCCGATATAAGTTTTTGTTTTATTAAACTAGCCTGGCCTTTTAAAGGCATGTGTTCAGCAGCAATTTCATTTTGATTCTCTTCTCGAAAAACATCAGTTCTTTTGGGGCTAGGATCATTTTCAGCCACGTGTCCGGAATCTAACTCGAGAACAATTTTCTTATCTTTATTGGTTTCATTACTAGCACTTGTACTCCACTGAGATGTCAAAGATTTTGTGATTCCTTTTTGAACAATTTCCAATTCATCCGTCTTTGCTGGCATATCAGCTTTTATTATGTCATCTCGAATTATTGGTTCGTTCTCTGCGACAACTCCATCGTCTTTTGAAATTTGAACAGTCGTTTTTGTCGACGGTTTTTGAACTAAATCAGGATTTTTCCAACGATTTAATAACTGTTTTGTTGTGCCTTTTTGAACAACTGACGTATTTTCAATGGTAGAACTTTCTTTGGCCACGTCGTCTTTTGTTATTGGTGCATTTTCAGCCACGTGACCGTCCTCACTTGCAATTTTTATCACTTTTTTTTCAGGTGTAAATTCCTCCATTTGTTTATTTTTCCAATGACCTACTAAAGATTTTGTTATACCACATTCTACAGATGAAATATCATTGTCCGTTTGATCACCTTTGACGACATCAGTTCTTTCTATCGGCTGATTTTCTACTATGCGACCATCATCTTCAGATATGACCACGGCTGTTCTATTCTCTTTCTCAAATGTTTTGTTTCCCAGATTTTGCCACTGAGTTTTCAATTGTTTTGCTGTTCCAGTTTGAACAACGTGAATCGGGTTTGTGTTAGCGTCTCCTTCACGAGCTACATCGTCTCTTTGTATTGGTATGTTTTCCACAATTTTACCGTCTTCGTGAGAAATAACGATTGGGGTTTTGTCTCGACTGCTGTTACCACTTGATCTTTCATTTGTGTTTTGTTGCCACTGATTTAACATATTCATAGTAAACCCTTTTCCAATGTTTATTTCATCAGATAGAACATTATCTGTGGACTTTATGACATCGGACCTTATGATAGGTTCATTTTCAACGCACTGTCCATCTTCTTCTTTAATTTCAATTTTTGTTGTTTTTTGAGATTTGGTTTGGTTATCCTTTTTTTCATGCCATTGATTTAAAATTGATTTAGTAAATCCTTTTTGCACAAAAGTTTCTTCTACTTCTACACCGCTTTTTACTACGTCAGACCTTTGGATAGGGTCGTTTTCAGCTACGAAACCATCCTGCTCCGAAATAGTAATAGGAGTCCTGCTTTTTACATTTGATTTGAGAGGCATAGTTTTCAACTGATTTAGGATATTTTTTGTGTAACCTTTCTCAATAATAGTTTCATCTTTGCTTTGATCTGACCGAACTACATTCTCTCTTGTTATTGGCTCATTTTCAGCACATTGTCCATCATTCTCTTCTATGACAATAGGAGTTTTTTCATTCCTGAAACTTTCTAAATTTTTATTTTGCCACTGACCGACTAGTGACTTAGCTAAACCAGACTGAATGACTGGTTTGTACTCGTGAGTTGTTTCAGTTTCACGAGCAATATTTTCTAATGTTTCAGGATTATTCTCAGAGAGCGAACCATCTTCTTCTCGAATTTCAATTTTTGTCTTACTTTTCGCAGTGCTTGTTATAACGTTTTGATTTTGCCATTGATTAAGCAAAGATTTTGTGAAACCTTTTTCTATTTTTTCTATTTCATCATTTTGCATTGGTTCCGAACTGACAACATCCACCCTTTTCACTGGTTCGTTTTCGATTATGTGACCTGAATCCAAAACAAGGTTTACCGGCTCCTTTTTGAGAACTTCAGAAGAATCAGTAGTTATTTTATTCCAACGTCCCAATAAATTTTTTGTAGTTCCTTGTTGCACAACGTTTAAGGCGGAGGGTAGTTGTTCATCTTCCTTGGCAATATCATTTCTACTTAAGGGCTCATTTTCACAAACGGTACCATCAATTTCAGAAATAATTATTTTCTGTGATTTTGATATTTCTTTATTTTTGCAACCTTCAATTAATTGATTCATTATCATTTTAGCCGTGCCTTTTTCGACTAAATTTTTTGCTTCATCATCTTTTGATTTGATTACATCAGTCGAAATTATAGGCTCATTTTCAGCAATCAATCCTTCATCTTCATCAACTATGATTCGTCTTTTACTGAATTGAACAGTTTCAGTATTTTTATTTTGCCACTGCCCTAGCAAATGTTTTGTCAAACCTTGTTGAATAACGGGTTGCGACTCCGATATTTCACAGCGTTGACTTGATGTATCTGGAATCGCGGTTTCATATTCTGGAACTTTATCATCAACTGGAGATAATAAAATAGTCTTTTTTTCAACAATTTTTGAACTTTCCACTGACTGTCTTAATTGCTCTAAAGCCGTTCTAGCAAATCCTTTTTCAATTGTATCCACATTAGATATATCTGATGTCTTAACAGTTTCGTCGTCTTTTGTATCACTTTTGAAAAATGTATTTAAATTTTCAGATAATGCTACCGATGCTTTCACGTCAAATTTTACTTCATTAAGTTGATCTTTAACAACATTTTTGTTTAAATCTGGTTTCTGTCGGTTTTCGTTTAATTCAATTTTTTCTACGTTGTTAGGAATTTCATCCTTTATCACATTGGTTGCAGCATTGTTTTGTGGCAGTTCAGTTTTTACTGGTAATTTCTCCAAATCTTTCGAATTAACTTCATCTTTATTTAATATTTTTTCCAGAGTATCATTTTTTAAATTTTCCGCTTCTTTTTCTGCACAAGTTGGGGCATTGGCTTCCTCGTTTGCTCTATTAGCCATTACCTGCATAACGGTTGGTCTTGTTCGTTTCTCCGGAATATTGATAACAAGAGATTTTTTAGATCTATCGAGTTTTGGCAAGTGTTTGAATTTGACATATTTCCATTGTTCGTATAACGTTTTATCGATTCCTTTTTCTAAAAGTATTTCATTATACGACCCACTAGTTTTTGTTGCATTTTGTATAATATCATCTAGTGAATCATCAGGATGATCGGATTTCCATTGAAGCACCATAGCTTTTGCTAGACCTTTTTGCAAACTATCCAGATCTATTTCTTCTTCTTTTGTTTCTTCTGATTTTTTTGACTCTTGGGTAGATTGGTTGACCGCTTCTGGAGATAAGGCATCACTGTCATTTTTTGCCGGTTCATCTGAAATTGTCATACTTTTAGCAGTTTTTGGCAATAAATCGGTGTTAGGAGCTGTTTGGTGACCAATTGTACTTTTCGGTATAATTGAAGAATCCGTTGTTACAGACTGCAAAAGAACTACGGTTTGTTTGGGTGCTACGTATGTTTGATTTTTCTTATCATTCCATTGGTCTAACAAAGATTTAGCAGTTCCTTTTTGTACAACCTCAGCATCTGTAATTTTTTCTCTTGCTTGTTCTAAATCGTTACTTGAAATTTTATCATCTTTATTTATTTGATCAGCACCAACTCCTTCAATATTTTGGTTATTCCATTGATTTAAAAGGTTTTTTGCAAATCCTTTTTGAATAATGTCGTTTTCTTGCATTTTCTCATTGTCCGAAGTTTGATCTTTTATTGAATCATCGTCTACTAATTTTATTAATGACTTATTTGGTGATACGTAAATTGATTTATCTTCGCTCTTTTTTTGCCATTGATCTAACAAATTTTTAGTAGTTCCCTTTTGAACTTGTTCTCCTTCGCTAGCAGCCTCACCAGATTTTATTATGTCATCTGATCTAGCCGTAGGAGTGTTTTCAAAAACAGAATTAGTTTCAGCTGAATCTTCAATCAAACTGATGCGTTTAGGTGTTGTTTTAGTGGCAGTGTTAGAGGTATCGCCTTTTTCAAACATAGATCTAACATTTTTCGTCATATCTTTTGCAATATTTTCAATCACTTCTGACTTCGGAGCACTGCTAGGACTCGCATTTTTACCAGCAGCTTCAACAAGATTTAAATATTGCGATTTTCCGGATTCACTTCCAGAGGCAGTCATTAAAAATGCTAACTGTTAAATTATAAATGATAAAACTTTGTTAAGCAAATGTAAAATAAACAAATGAAATGAAAATTTTATTAATTTTAAGATTTTTGTTTCATTGTTTAAATATTAATTATTAGTTCACGAAATTAATCAAAGTATGGAAGCTAGTTTTTATTCCGTTATTAAAAGGTGAGCTTAAAAAATGGTATTCACGCGTATTTTAAGCGTTTTTAACAAAGATTCTTACGATGTCTTGTTCCCTTAAAACAGGCCCCGAGGTATCTTTCTTTTTTTCATCAACCACCCTGATTATAAATTTTTTTAATTATAATCAAATTTATCGCAGCAATATAAAAGCTGTCAAACTTGTTCCAACTGAAGTCAAGTTTTTGAGGTTCTCTGACTACAGTAGGTAAACTTATCTTGGATACATCTTTGTCCTTTTCAAATTGATTATATTTATTTTTCATATAATCAACCACTATTGGCGAACCTAAGATTGACAATATTTAGATATTTAATTAGTCAATAAATGAAAATAATTCACAAGTACTGTGAAGTAATGGACAACTTGATAAATGATTTCATTTAAGCATCCGGTTTTCAATGGATAATCCAATTTCATTAATTGGTTTAAAAATCACGAACTTCATTCAATTAATTTCACGAACTTGAAAATTAATTATTACAAATAATAACCTGTGTCCTTCGCTGGATCAGCTTGCAAAAGCTATAAATTATTTTTTTTGTAAAACATTCAAAGCATTTAATGATAACTTGTTTTTATTATTCTCCAAAACAAACAACGACGTATTAACATTAATCAACCAACCTTTTGTTTGTTCTCCATTTTATTAATTCAGCTCTTGAAGTTACTAACTATTGTTTAACGTTCAATAAATGTGGGGAATGCTTTACAAAAAAAATTAGGAAATAACAATGGAAGTGCGTTGAAAAATGCGGATGAATTGAACCATCAGTGCAACTGATTGAATAAACAGTGCTCGACAAAGTTTATTTTCACAATACTTCAACTTTTCCAACATACGCCAACATATGTATATATGAAAATATCTATATATAAAAAATAATCTTTCTGTACAATTTATATGTGAATTTTATATATATATATATATATATATATATATATATATATATATAATGTATGTACACTTATACATGCATATATATATATATATATATATATATATATATATATATATATATATATATATATATATATATATACGTATGAACACGAGTAGGTACATACAGATATAACGTAATATATGTCTAAATTCACCGGCACATCGCATGTGTATTTTCGTATTTAAGCAGCAGGATTGTTGAAGATGTGAATCATACAGCGAAATATAATGCATGTAGTTAAGAAATACATACATATACATATAAATACATACTTTCATACATCTTTTTCTTTCTTCAACTTACCTATGTATGTGCATTAAATATTTGCGTGCATTGCTTGAAGCTGCTATGTAAAAACGTTAAATACATTACAATGCGCCTAACGATTTCGTGCGTTATTTTCAGTTCACTGAAAATCTAATAGATAAACAAATGGCTATCAAATCCAAGTTGATGAACCTCAATAAGTATGAACAAAAGTTTAAAAAGAAAGCTCACACACGCTCAACAACAATAGGGAAACCACTGTTAAGTTTCGAATACAATCTTGCCTATAAACTTAGATGTTTACTGCGTGCAGCTTATTCTTAAGTTGATTGACTTAATTTTAAAAGATAAACGTTCATATATCTTAAAAACGGTTTTTTATTACAAAATAAGGCTTATTTTTAACTGTAGGAATAAAGTGAGGCGTACACTCAAAGGAAAGTTTTATCGATAAACTAAGTTCAATATTAAAAATATATAGCACAGCAAGATACTTTTTCAGTGATATCTGGCATGACTATCCATCTATCGTCCTTTATTCTTAACGGTTTGCAAACACACGATGATAAAATATTGCGAAACATAGATTTTGGCAAATGTATCCAATGTTTTTGAGCATCAGTTTTTGCGATTTTGTTTTTTTTTTGGTAAAAATTGGTCTTTACTTTGTTATAGAAGCGTTGACCACGACCAAAGGTGATCGCATATCATTTCCAGATTCAAGAATTCAAGTTTCCGATAATGAAACTTGATGTTTTGGTGCCTTACCTCAACTTGTCTTTTTTCTTGCTTTTTGCAATAAATTAAACAATTTAATTCTTTTCAAATAAATTAAAATGAAGATTTGTTAAAACCAAAAATTATAAAGTTTGTTTCACAGTCAAAACGAAATCAAATACACGGTTCATCATTTTAATATATATATATATATAATTAAAGATAAAGATATATATATATATATATATATATATATATATATATATATATAATTAAAGATCACTGCGTTTTCGGCATTATTCAACTTGTAGTTAAGTTTCTCAATTTTTCTAACGAGACTTTTATCTTGATGAAGTTTATTGAGGTTAAATAAAAAACTTTTAATATTTGACATTTTTGACAAAACATATACTGTATTATATATATATATTTATATATATATCCAAGATTTACACTTATAAAATATTTTAAAATGAATTATTTTATTGTAATATTTCAAACACCACTTCTACATTCTAATCATCAGTCTAAAAAATTGCAAAATTAACATCGACTTAAATAAACCTATCACAAATGAATACATTACATGTGTACATTAGTAATAGATATAATGGCCTAGTGGATCAACAAAAATGAACATCGTTTATGAATACTATATAAAATATATATATATAAATGCCTTTCATAAGAACACAAATGTTCCAATATCGAATTCGTAAACATAAACAAAATGGTTTTCTTAATTGGAAACATGAAACGTCAATATGAAAGTTCACTGTTGGCCTAAAATAAAGCTCATTCTTACAATTTGGTTTAATGATCGCTATCAAAAATCGTCATCATATTGAAATATTTTCGAGAATGTGTTCAGTTATTAATAATTTTACTTTGATTTTTTGTACGAGTTTATCATTTTTCTGTACATGCAAACAATTTTAGAATCAACCAAATGTTTTGAAGAATCTTCAGCAATGGTTTCAACAGGACCTTTTGTTATTATCTCTTCATTATTGATATCTTGGTTGAAATTTGAATTTGGCATATCATAAACGCTGTTATCATTACTGACATTGCAAACTTCTTTTAGTTTTTCATTACTGATGTCATCTTCAACATTGTTATCAACAAAATTGTCATAAACATAAATGCCATTTACATTTAAAATGGATTCAGCATTTGCAGTAACAGAGTCAACCATTGTTTTAGTTGCATCTGTGGTTGCATCGGTAACAAAACTTGTATCATTAACTAGTCCTAGCTCTCCTGCACCTGACAAGTTTGTTGATGTGATCAAATTGTTACAGGCATTACTGTCATCTCCTTTATCTAATAATCTATTCTTAAAAATTAAACCTGAATCCCTGCAAATATTTTCAGCTATAATTCCCCCAATTTTGTGGTCATATTCTGGATAAATATCATCATTTTTCAAATTATCATACATTGTTTGATCAATAAGATTCTGACAGTTTGAATGCTTCGAATGGTCACTTGCTTTTATCTGCTCAACTGTTTCTTTCAAAATTTTCATTTCACATTTCAAATTAGAATTAACATCTTGTAGTTCCGAGTTTAACATTTTAAAATTTTCATTAAGCAAGAGGGTTTCCTTATATTTCAATTTCAGTTCATCAAGTTCTTTGGTGATAATGTTTTTCTCAATAACATTAGAAGATATGATTTCTTCAAGCTCTTTTTTACATTGAAAGATTTCCTCAGTTGCTTTCTCCAATGCATTTTCAAGCTGTTTAATTTTCAAAGACTTTTCAGCATTGGATTCAGAGTAACTGCTAAGTAACGATTGAAAATTAGAAACTGTTTTTAGAAGATCATTGTATTTCAATTCTTTGTCTTCTAATCTAGATGTCAGAGATTTGTTACAATTTTGTAATGCAGACAACTCAATCTTAAAGTCATCTATTGAAGTTTCTAAAGTATTAGAAACTACCTTCATTCTTACATCATTAGCACTGGAATTAATTATTTTTTGTTCCATCAGTTCTAAGCTATAATTTGTCTGTTTCAGTTCATCTTTTAAATTATTAATAACCTCTGAATAAAGAGAATTCACTTTGATGCTTTCTTTTACCTCCAATGCTAATTTAGATAAATCACTGTTCACTTTTGTGGTGATTTCTTTGAAACTCTTCAATAATATTTCAGTATCCAACTTTTGTTTGGTGAAACTCTGTAACAGAGAATTATTATGAAGAATCTTTTCATTCTGTTCATTTATTTTTCGTTCAAGTGTGAAATTTGCTAACTGTAATTTGCTGTTTTCATTTCTCAATATTTCAATGGCTTTATCACTTGTCTCTATGATTAATTTTTGCTTTTTCAGTTTTTCATCCATAGCCACTGATTGGTTTATGTTGGATACTTTTATTTCATCTATTTTCAGCAAATGTTCTGCTTCTAAATGTTTCAACTTCATAGTTAAAGTGTCCATTGATTTTTCCAACTCAATTTTTTCTTTAACTAACAATTTCATATTAGATTCAGTTTCTTTGTCTTTGGCTTTACGACAACGCAACTCTTCAATAATTTGAAATAACTCACATGGAATTTTGATTTGATCGATAACACTCATTATTGCAAAACTTTTAAAATAAAAAAAACGCAACGAGGGGAGCGAAAAGCAGGCGACAAAATAAAACCATAGACTGAAAATAAAAGAAAACCTACAAGCATATGAAACCATGGATATATCCAGGTATGAAACGTTAAAATAACCGATGAAAATGTTTATTTCAAAATCTCAAGCTGTTTGATTCAATTAATTTTAATAAATAATTAATAAATACAAATATGACGTCTTTATTTTGTGACTTGGAATGACGGTGCACTACTTTACATATTTGGTAAAGTGAATATGGGGTATTATCGTATTGATCACGATTTTTAAATTTTATAAGCGACCTAGAAGAAACTATGTCAGACAGACGTTCTCCAAATATATAAGAATCATTGAATTGATTATTATCCGTGTTGCCCTTGTGCATACACAGATCTATGTGGGATGGGTTTAACAGGAATTGAAATATGAAGCACGGACGCGTCAACTCATATGGAGGCATTCACGAGGCATCGAAATCATCAAAGCGAGTGCATCATGTATATTAAACTGTTAAATAATGCGAGTCGATGTATAGCTCTTAAATCAGAAACTTTTTGTAACATAAACTCCTGTAAACTCCTGTATCACATATCAAGTTTATCATACTGAATGTTGTCTACGGACGAGTTTCCAAAAGTGGTGGGCCCACAGGAAGGGGTGGAGTTTCATTTAAAAAGGGGGCTATTTGAAATATACAGGAATATGAATTATAAGTAACCGTCAAGAAAATTTAAATAACTGACAAGGGAATGCTAAGTGATCCAATGGAAACTAATAATCTACAAAACTGCTTTATGAGTGCGTTTTCTCAGCGAAAGAAACTAATTCCAAACAAAAATTTTTGTTACAATATCCATTTTACTAGCTACAAAGCCCAGTAAATTACGTTTCACCACAGTACGATGCTATTTTCACGTTAAAAATAAGATACAGGCTACATCTACCTAACTAATAACTTTTAGAATCATCCAAACTTTTTTTAGTGTTTTGAAGGCAGGGCGCGAAAATATATAAGAACTGGGAAACGCTGCTGTAGTGTCGAATAATTCATAACAAATGACAAGATGAAATGACATCAACAAGAGAGCATTACCTTAAAAGAGTTTAGTTTTATATAAATTTTTTTTTGCGAATAAAACTTTTTTGAATTTGAATGTGTCTCAATGTTTCAACCTGTTTAAGTTTGTACAACTTATAAAATCATATGTCGATTGATTAGGCGAACAAATTAGACCAAAAAAATGTTACTTTATCTTGGAACTACTGAAACAAACAAGATGAAACAAACGAAATATAAAATAAAATGTAGAAATTCAAATTTTCAAAAAAGTTATGAAGCACGATATTATCGTACTTCTTAATTACACAAAAAATAGAGAACAATAAAATAAAATAGAGCGAAAGAGCAAAACAATCATGTTAGAAAATGATAAATGTAACAATTTTAAAAGACTGTAACAATAACCAAAAATCGAATATATAAAAATGAAAAGAAACAAAAATGACTATTTGAACGCTTAAATAACTTCCTAGGGCGACTACTTGATCATCTGGAAAAATAACACCAAGAGTCATAAATGGAACAACTAATAAAACTGCTCAAACAAAAATTTCATTCTGTCACAAAAATCCGAAAATTTATAAAATCCGGTCAGTCGAGTTGGCCTGCAATGATTGATGCGGTTCTTGATGTGTAGGTACCTAAGCGTGTTACATACCTTGTGGAGCAGTTGTGAGTATGGGGCGATATAAACGATGCTCTGTGTCGGTCAAAGTTGTCTAAAAAAGATATGAACTGTTTTTGAACTAAATATGAAAAATTATAAATCAGCGTCAAGTCCGAACTACCGATTTTGCCCTACTTATTTAGCAAAATAACCGCCAATCAATAAGTTTGAATCAATCAGTAGGCCTATACTTGGCCGAATAACAATTATACAATAATGAATCAATGACATAAAAATAAATGACTGATTGGATGAATGAATGAATGTATACATGAATGAATTAAATTTTAATACTTTGCGAAAAACTTAAGAGTGGGAGGTGATAATAAGCATGAGCACAAAATATTAATTATCATTATTATTCTACTGCAAACAGTTCACTACACACGAACATTCAAAAATAACGTACAAGGTTGACGAAATAAAATATAATGCAAGGAATGTTTTTAATGACTATGAACTGGAAGATCAGTGTAAATATATTTCAGTAATTAATGCGTCATATTAATTCAGACTCAGACCCAGGAATTAGATGGAAGAAAATTTTTTACTTTTCTCATTTTATCAGATGAGGCATCTAATAAAAACTGAGACGACAGAGAAGACAAATCCGGCTGCAACGATGACGTCACTACCGCCACTGTGGAATAAGAAGATGATGATGATGACGATGGTGGTGCTGCAAGTGACCTGGATAATGATGCTGAAAAATTTTCAAAATCAGGCAGTAAACATGAATCATTGAATGTTTGCTTAGATGGTGGGAAAATGCCTAAGCCATTGTTTAAATCAAATGGTAAACTTTTGTCACGTTCATTTGTTGCAGTAGAAGCTGTTGGAGGTAATCGTGTTGCCGACGATGATTGAGATTTGTTATCGCATGTAATGTTCTTATTTGAAACATTCCTCTCGGGACAAAGTGATTTCGTAATCGCTACAGATGACGACAACGATGACAAATTATTATTATTCGTTTTAGGAAGAAATGACAGAGATGAGGATGATGCTAATGACAGTGCCAGCATAGATGACGACAACGACGAAGACAACGATGACGGCGATGAGGAATGATGGGGCACTGTCGATAAAAATGACGATGGTGTTATTTTTGAGGCCATGACAGGATAATGATGAGAGGATGTTGTTATGCTGACATCGTTTGGTTTTGTTGACTGCTGGTGGTGGTGCGAGTGACTTTGGGGAGGGGCGTGTTTATATAAACAGGCCTGATGACGATCCTCTTTGAAAGTTGAATTGGTCTGACACGATAACCTAGTTTTTTTCTCTTCTGAAATACAACAAAAATAGTGATTCAACAAAAGTGTTCTTATATCTATGTAAACTTGACAAAAAACTCGTTCATTACAATCACGGTTATCATTTTATTACTATCAATAACTGAAAGACACAGACCATCTTGTTGAAGAGAATGACAGTTTGAATGATCAGAAAATCTGACTCTTTTCATCTTCAGCGAACAATCAGAATAACTCATTGGAGCAGTTGTGTAACAGCTAGTGACGTTACTTTTTAATGAACATCAAAAATAAATTGATAAACATACTAACAACATACATACGTTAAACATACTGCCTAACGTATCATCAAACTACACAAATCATTGTAATTATTTAAACAAGTGTAATTGAAGCAAGACTTACATTTTTGGCTGAATGAAAAAATCACATTTCCTATACCCATACTTTTTGAATTCAGAATGAAGATCCAGCAATGACCAAAACTTTTTCAAAAGCTACAAATGTACAAACAGTTTTTTACATTATAACATTTTAAAACGTGTTGATTAAACTTTTTTAAGAGCAAATCAATCAATCAATCTTCGTTTTGCGTCCAGAGACCCGGTTCCCAGAGGAAGGACAAGAGCAAACAAGAGAGTTTAAGAGCAAACAAGTTCATATCCTCAATTATCAATCTACACTTCTATCTATAAGCTGAAATTAATACTGAATCAATGGGAGCCAATTATTTCCGTCACCTAGTTAAATTTGATAAAAATTATTTTTTAAAATGAAAATTAGTTGGCTAACAATTGATGCCAAAGTGCTTTTTCCAAAACCAAATAGTTGTGGAGACATGGCAACCATCTGCAGGCTATTCAACCAACCACCAGATATTACACTTCTTTTAAATTTTATGGAAAAAAGTTGTCGACAAATTTAATTTTACAAAATAAATAACAAAAGTTAATAATCAATAACACAAAATCATATAGATAAAAAAATGTGTTGTCCTATCCAAAATTTCCTAATACATTGTTTTCTGTCACGATGTAAATGGTGATTGAAATGAGACGTTACCGTCAAATTATATAAATGATGCTATACATCTTTTAATAACATGAACTGTTGAAATGAATAATTGCTTGTGTGACTTTCAGAATGAAGACCTCCTTCATAAACCTGGTGAGCTGTGCAGTGGGACCCAGGCAATGTACCACGGTTGATTCAAGCACTGACGCCAGTTCAGGTGTGTATGGATCATACAGGTGAGGTATGGCAGGTGAGGTGGGACTCACATTCGGCGGTTTGCTCAACAAATGATCAATTAAGAGCTTTCCTAAAATTTGATCGTAATCTAGACTAGTATGAAAATATTTTTGTATAACGAATCAGACATACCAAAATCGTTTTGAGATGCTTGATCGAATGGCAGCTGTTTCAACAAGCTGGCTGTAGGCAATACGATTCTGTCAGAAAATGAGGTGAGATTTTTGATGAAAAGTTGCAGGTTGCTGTCTTTTCCAACCAAATGCTTTGATTCCAATGAAAACTAAAAACAAATTAATCACAATCAATCAATCAATCAGTCAGCCCTAATTTGTGAATACACAACATAAATATAGACTCTCACAGTTATACGACTCAACATGAAAGTTAATCAATAATAACGTTGCATCATTTTCATGATATTTTTTTTTTAATAGAAACCTCCGAATTATCCAGCATATTTAAAATAATTTCAAGGACAGCCTCACAAATGTTGATGCAGACATCTCCCTCAACGTTCTTATTCTTGTAGTTATTATTATTATTGTCGTTATTGTTATCATCATTGAAATGACTGTTGATGCAGTTGAGGTCGGGATTGTACAAGCAGAGAAGATGAAGCATGATGTGGAGGAGTTCGGAGCTGGTTATTAGCAGGAATACATTGTCGGTCTTGTTGCACTCTTGCTTCATCTCATTCACGTTGGAAAGGCATTCCCTGCAGAGGGATAACGATATGCACGTCGGGGTGAGTGTTTCTTTAGACAAACTCTTAATTTCAAATTTTTTTCAATTCATAAGTCATCACTTTGAGCATGAAATTTTGCGAAGCTAATGTGAAAAAATTTCAAAATAAGATAAGTTTATTAGGGAAATTAGTTTGTCAAGTTAATAAAAAAGCAAGCTTAATTAATTGCAATGAAAAAACCCAACACTATAAAAGAAATATATGAAAAATCTCAATTAAAAAGCGGAAAGTTTTTGAAGGAGACTGACTGACTCTGTTGAGGATTGCTTGAATGTTCTCCTGGCGAACCTGGAAAACATTCCACTTCTAAAACAAACAATTGTCGGACTCTCTTGATTTGTGAGTTATGTTAGTATTGTTAGTAACGTGAAAGCTGTTAGTGTTAATGACATTGATATCATTAACGACGTTATTACCGTTAATACTACACCAAAAATATTGAAATGAGCAAAGCTGATGTCAAATGTTAGATAATAAAAGCTTTAGGGCAAGCATTTATAAATCGAATGTTACGACAATAATAGTAATTTATCAAGCTGATTTAAAAATTATTAAAAACTTTTTTGTTAAAAAGTGTTGGTGACAAAAACAAATAACGGGAAATTTATAACAATATGGAAACGAGCACATACATGCAACTTTAAAATCATCTAAACTAAATTGTGGTCAATAAAAGAACTAATGATCAAAAAAATTTTTTTAATTTTTTCAAAACAAACTAACCCAAAGTTTCTTTCTTAACGACATAAACCGGCTCTGTGGGTTTCCTACCTAAAGAAAAACTTCTTCGGCCGTAAGAAGATGATGATGAGGATGATGATGGCGTCGATGATAACGATGATGACCACTGCATGAAATGTCGATCTTTGTTCATGTTTAGAGTTAAATTCCTCAAAATAATTAAACAGTTCTCTAGTGATTTGCCATCCGTCAGCTCTTTGTGCTTCGAGGACCATGTGACAAATTTCAATATCGAACTCACGACTGTCAACAGCTGATTAAGGTGGGGTCGAGATTTGCGACTAACCGAACTTACATTTCTGAAGAAAAGATTTACAAATAATCTTTTTTTTACGCAATAGACAGTAAAACATGAAATATCATCACAAATTACCACAAACATTACCTAATAATGCCAGTGGCGTGTCTGAAATTAGTGAACTGCAGTTTCAGAACCGGGTTTGTGGCCTGGTTGGATATGCAGCATATCAGAGGCATTATGATGTAGTTGAAGAGAACATGCAAACTTTTCTGTAGGATTTCTTCTTTCAAGTGCTGTCAGGTTGTTACAAAATGTTGTTTTACATGAAATCTTTGTAGGATAGGAGTTGGGTAAATAAATATACATCAATACACTTGTCTTTAAACTTGATTATTAAGTAAAAATGATTTCACAATTTAAAATTTTGAGTTAAGTATGCAATAAGTAAACAAATAAACAAACGAGTAAATAACAAACAAATATACAAACAAACAAATAAAAAAAACAAACAAAAACATACAAGCAAATAAAATGTATTGATCGAATAGCAATAGACCAAATTAAAAACATAATCGTTGAGAATACTGCAATTAATTAACTTAAGTTGAATGTGTGTATGTAACTTATACTCAACAAAATTTTTATCATAAAAAATGTATAACTTAATACAAAGAAAATTGGAACATAAAATGTAGATGTAAAATAAATGTATATAAGCACCAACCACTGGCAACATTAGGTACCAGTTAAGATCACACCACAAATTATGTAGTGCCATTCTTACTGGCCAAACTACTAAATGACCAATGAAGCAAACAAATGAATGGGTGAATGAATGAGTAAATAAGTTAATTAATTAATTAATTGATGAACAGGACAAACCTGACAGGAAGAAAGATTCCAAAGGAGACCAGAGGATAGAGAAGTGATGGATGAATTATTTGTTGTTTTCAATAAATTTATTATTGCATCTACACCTTTCTGCTTAAGTATTTCAATCTGAAATGAATTGAAGAAAAGTTTTTTAAATTATGATGACAAAAAACACGAAAATAAATTGATATTCAATTGTTATTATTCATCATAAAATGTTGATGCAGTAACGTGCAATCCTAACAACTGACCAATCAGCTTGATTATTATTAATTGAACGAAAATAATAAAAATTAATACTTTGAAATGCCAAACTAATTAAACAGTTATGAAGTATAGAGATGCATAAACTATTTTGTACTTGAACTTCATAACACTTATATTATCAATGAAACTAAAAATAACAAAAAATAAATACCTCAACATAAATAATTATAGAACAATGATAATAAAAATGATGATGACAAAATAATGACGAAATAACAAAAATACTTAAAAATACTGATACTTTATTTTTATCATTAGCCTTCCCACAGGAGAGGTTCCTCAAAGCACCCAAGGCATTCCTGACCACATCCACATTTGCACTACTCAGCATCTCAACCAGGGGTTTTACACCATGCAGCTCTCTTAATTAAATTTTATTTTATTAAACATTGAGAAATATTCAAATAAGCAAGTTTTTAGAAAAGTTAAACAAATTAATTAGACAATGACACTGGTAACAAATAAAATTAAAATCAGCAAGGTTCATCTGATAAATTTAATCTCTCTGAGCGGCGAAGGCAGATGCAAAAGGAGAATGAAATTCCCATCAATGCAGGTAGAAACATAGCACTTTGTTAATAAAATGCTGATGGCATGTCTACCAAAATTAATATTTTTCTCCACATCGTTAATTGTACAAACACTGTCAACTTGACTAATTATTATTTTACTTCCAAACGTGCTCACCAGGTTAGTTTCATTTCAAAGTACTTCTATGTGCGTAGGTGCTTAGCTATACTAACAGTGCTAAGCTACGTACAACTTTACTAATTTGAGCTTGCAATTCAAAATGTTAACTGAAAGATATAAAAATCTCAATAAACATAATAAACAACAAAAAAATTAAAAACAACAAAAAACACCTGACAGAAGATTTCACTTGATCATTCTTAAAAGATAAATGTTGCAAATAGGCAGCAGCGTTCGATTTAATGTCGTCATCGGAATTACTGAGATCTAAAATTAATTCACTCAAATCCGGATACCTCCAGAGCTCATTATTTACCATCGGACCTGATTAAAGTTGCCAATGATTGTTTATTTCAAATAAATTTAACTATTGTTATATTGTTTAAACGTTTATTTTTTTATGTTAATAAACACCAGAAAATCAAAATCGTAATTTAACTATTAGTAGACTATACTATTTCAATGGTCATCCAGACAAATTAAAGTTTTACCACCATTCAGACAGATTGAAGTGTTACTACTATTCAAACAAATTGAGGTTTTATTAATAACAAATATAAAGCCATAAAAACTTAATTACTATTACCTATTGCAACTACTAACACACTCAATACTTATTTAATTTTTAACTTTTTTAATTTGATTGAAGAGTAACGTTTAATTATTGGTGAATATAAAATAATTTAAATATTTTAAATAAAAGAAAAAACCAGTGAACTAACTAACCAACATTAAGGTCGGTATCCATGGTGTATTGTATTCTTTATCAGGTGAAGATGATATGTAAATCAGCAAATAAGTAGTTTGTCGTTCGTTTTTTACAATTTTACATTAGTCATTAACAAATGTCTAACTAATCCTAATCCTTTTTAGGAGAAGATAACAAAACATAACCACTGATATAAAAAAATGATAAGTAAACAAAAGTAAACATTTGGATTTAATTAAATTCAACTAATTAATTAATTTAATTTAAACATTTAATTTAATTCAATTTAATTTAGTTAACCTTTTTATTAATAATAAGAAGGTTAGTTAAATTCAATTAAATCAAATGTTTTTAATATTATGTCCTATATTTAATAAATAATAATTCAAAATAATGTAATATTATGTTATTGTTAATAATATTAACAATTTTATTTAGCAACTTTTAAAACCTTTCAATTGTAGTTTATTAGTATTAAAAAATTTTAAAATAGATCAAATATTAATTAATTACCTTACGAATTTTATGTAAAAAAAGTTTCATTTATTTATGCTTTGGGACTAGCATAATACTAATCTACTAATCTACCCTACTAATCTATTTTATTTGCTTCACTTTTTTACAAAACCAAAAATAAAATCTAAATTTTAGATTTACTGATGAAACCAGTGGATCATATCACGATGATGATCACATTCAGCAACAGCAGAACGACATTACGATAATGATTAAAAATGATTTTTTGGAAAAAAATATTTTTTAAAATTAAAAACGCGAAACTTCTCAAGTGAATTGGGCATAAAATTAATCTTTAGATCGAATGTAACTTTAATTGTTGTAGAATCAGGGATGCTACCATAACATTTTAATTTGTAATAATTTCGTTATTTGATCAATCAATCAATCAATCAATCAATCAATCAATCAATCAATCAATCAATCAATCAATCAATCAATCAATCAATCAATCAATCAATCAATCAATCAATCAATCAATCAATCAATCAATCAATCAATCAATCAATCAATCAATCAATCAATCAATCAATCAATCAATCAATCAATCAATCAATCAATCAATCAATCAATCAATCAATCAATCAATCAATCAATCAATCAATCAATCAATCAATCAATCAATCAATCAATAAATCAATAAATCAATAAATCAATCAATCAATCAATCAATCAATCAATCAATCCATCCATCCATCCATCAATCAATCAATCAATCAATCAATCAATCAATTAGCTTATAAAGCGCTATTTCTGCGATGTTCAATCAATCAATCAATCAATCAATCAATTAGCTTATAAAGCGCTATTTCTGCGATGTTCAACAGCGCTCATTAGTTTGATTCTTTTCAAGAAGACAATCGTTAAATGGTTTAATTACAATATTTGATAAGTACCTACTTAGAAAATAATTTAAATTGAGATTTGTACATTAATGTGCAAATTTTAAAAGTTATTCTACATTGTGCAAGAGATCAAGATATGGTGATATATGCAAAAAGATAGGGGCAAGAGCAACTAGTTCAGAGGTATAGAATACAAAAAGAAGAGAACCGAAGATGAGTCTTTGACGTATTCCAAAAGTAAGTGTAGAGAAGTTATAAGTAGTGTTATTAAGAACGACAGAAAAGAAACTGTTACAGAGACAAGAAGAAAACTAAGACAAGCAACATTAAAAGAATGATCTAGCAGTCTCAAAAGCAGAAGAAAAGTCAAAAGCAAGAAGTAGAGTAAGATTTGCTAGAGTTATTCTACATATATGAAGAGAAGGATGTCGTTATGAACTTTTAGTAAAGATGTCTCAGTACTGTGAGCAAGTCTGAAATGTAAAGTTTAACATAATATATTATAAATACAATTTTTTTAATATTTTTATTGCTGTAAAGTTGTATTATTTACAGTCATATATATATATATATATAGACTATATATTCTATATATATGTTTACACTATATAACGCAGTTTTAAGATAATATCTCGAAGTCCATTAGCTAATCCAAAATAGAAGCGCAATTTATATTTAAAATTTCTTTGGTTAGTGGATCTATTTATTTTACAAATAACCGGAGACTTGAAATTGAAACGTTACGAATTATCGCTATAAGATAATTATCGCTATAAGATAATTATCGCTTTCTTATTATTTTCTTAATTTTGAAAATTTTTTCTTTTAATAAAAATTTCAAAGGTTAGATAATTTTTATTCAGTTTGTTACACGCTTAAAATTATTAATGTTGGTCTGTAATGTTCTTTTTTTGAGTTTGATTAGTAAATTAGTTCATCAGTAGTTAGTTTTTATTTTAATTTAATAATTTATTTAATTTTAATTAATTTAATTTACATGATTTATTTATAATTATATCTATTTATATACAATTTAGTATTCTTTCAAATTTTTAGTTTATGAAGTCAGTTGTGAGTGTGTGTCTGTGTTTAAATTAAAAAAGTTCAAAAAATTTAAAAAAATAGTTTTGATTTAATTTTGTAAAAGTTGGAAACTGAATATAAATTAAATAAATTAAGTTACGTTTTCTGTAAAAGTAAATGCTAAATCTTAGTCCATTTTGAATTTTAATAATTTTTCCCATTTGACATTTGTTTTTATTTTATTTTCACTTTTCAGCTTTCTCTAATTTTCTTCCTTTGCTTTGCAAGATCATGTTCGGAAGTAAACCTACTACCGGATTGTTTGGCGGGACTGGCACCGCTAATACATCGTTTGGTAAATTTTGTTTTCATCTACATTTCTTGTTTTGTGTGATTATCAATTATTTAATGTCCGTTATAAAATGATTCAAACTTCAAATTGTCTACTGGGCTTTTCTGTTGAAAATGGTTTTGATTACAACTTGTTTTTAACATTTTAAATATAAAAATTGGATTAATCATTTATTTCATTTTATTTATTAATACCAGGTTCAACATCATTTGGAGCTCCTAGTACTCCTTTTGGGGGGGGAAGTTGGTTCATTTTTTTAAATTTTCAACTCATTAAATTAATTTTTTTAATTTTAGTGGCAAAAGTTTATTGATTTATTGTAAAATTCAATTGAATTTGCGAATTAATTGTCTTATAAGAATAATTATAATATGTTTTATATTTAAAGATGTTGGGTTTGGTTCATCAACTTTTGGTACTCCAGCTCAGACAGGGGGTGGTATGTTTGGTCAGCAGTCGACGAGTACTGCTGGGTTGTTTGGGGGAGCGTCCAGTTTTGGAGCCACCAACACTGCATCAACACCTTTTGGTACAGTTTTAGTTGTTTGATCTAAGAAGTGTTTTATTACATAATTAAATTATTACTTCACTTTAAAATTATTTTGATGGTTTCCAGGTGGATTTGGAGCAGGGGTGCAAACATCAAATACAAGCTCATCTGGCTTGTTTGGAGGAACCACTAGCACTGGTATGCAAATTCAGTATTGAATTTTTCATTTTCCAATTAATTTGTTCATTTGAATACTTATTGTTTTGTTTTACGAAATATTTCGACAGCCTTTGGGACACCTTCATTATTTGGCCAGCCAGCTCAACAAGCACAGCCAGCAACAGGGTTTGGCCAGGCAGCTGGTCTGAATATGTTTGGGTTAGGTTCTCAGCAGACCGGGACCACTGTGAAGTTTGTTGCCACTCCTGGAACCGATATTATGATGAAATCTGGCATCTCAACAAATGTCAGCACCAAGCTACAGTGCATTACTGCAATGAAAGAATATGAGAATAAAAGTCTTGAGGTTTGATCATTTTTAAGGATTATGTATGCATGTGTTCACATTATATTTTTTTTTTCTGGTTGCAATTAAATAGGATTTTGTCTAATTAAAAATATTTTAGCGAACAAATGAACAAACAAATGAAAATATGTGATGTATGTGTAATATAAAATTTGTTATAGTGACTGCATAAACAAACCTATCATGCTAGATGCAATCTGTCAGGCCCAAATATACATATATATATATATATATATATATATATATATATATATATATATATATACACATTACACACATACATTACACACATGCCTCTTATTATTATCTATTAAGTCAGAATATCCCTCTGTTGATGCATTGAATCAGTTGTTTACATATTAACCTAACATATTAACTGTGAAACCCTCTCAGGAACTGAGGCTGGAAGATTACAATGCAAACAGAAAGTCAGGTTTGGTGATGAATGTTGGATTTGGATCAACAGCTGCAAGTGGGGGTGGCTTCATGGGCGCTTCATCACAACAGCAGCAACAACAAACAAGCAGTTTTGGACTCTTTGGAAATCAGAACAAGCCAACATTTTCAGGTTAGCTAATGAATAAATCTTGAATGATTGAGTTGATAAGTTCAAGAAATAATATAATTAGTGCTAGAGATAAAGATTAGTTCGTTTTTTACACCATTGTCTGTATATTTTTTTATTCTATCTCTGAAGAGCCAATTTTTCATTATTAAGTTATTCTAATAGAAAATTATTAACTTAATAAAATCAATGGTTTCAAGTTGCACATTGAAAATGTTATCTTTATGGCATGTTAGCAATGACTCATTAACATAATGAAATTTTAAAGGTTTTGGCACACCATCAGCAGCCAACAACACATCACTATTTGGTGCATCCCAACAAGCAAAACCATTGTTTGGAGCCCCTGCAACAGTTACATCTGCCTCCAACGCGTTTGGAGGCCTTGCTGGTGGAAATCTCTTTGGAAATGCATCAAAAGTTTGTTTTTCTGACTGCTTTCTTTCTTATTTAACTGCATTTTTTATTTAATTTTTCGGTATAATGCCAGTAAAATTTATTGAAATAATTGTGTGTGGTGTGGTGCATTGTAATGATGTTTTTTTTACAATTGAAACCTCATGAATGGATGTAAATGAATTTGAACAGCCTGGCGGTTTGTTTGGTGCAGCAGCAGCAACGACGACAACTCAGTCACTCGGCTTCTTTGGAAACAGCCAACCAGCTGGCAACACTGGTTTTGGCCTTACTAATCAAAATGTATGTACCGTATACTAACTTATGTTCTTTCTACTCATTGATTGCAGATTTTTTTCGTCATTAAAAATTTAGATTTAAAATTAAATTAAATTAAAGATTTAGTTAACTTATTTAGTTATGTTCAGTTATTATTTACTTATATCTGTTCATGTATTTTTGAGTCATTCTATGTATTCATCAGTATTGTTTTTCAAATTTGCTTAATATTATTACAAATTATTGTCACTGAAATTTATAAAACTGGAGTGCTGCTCTATTTATTGGTTGCAGATTTTATTAGTTATTAAAAATTTAGTTAGTCTATTAACTTTTCTACATATCTGCTCATATATTTTTAAGTCCTATGGATTTTTGTTTTGTTCACATATTAATCAGTTTTGTTTATCAACATTTTTTAATATTGTCAAGCATTATTATCTTTAATGAAATTTATAAAACCGTCTAATTTGTGTGAATGTGATTATTTACCACCAGAACATGGGAGGTTTGTTCGGAGGCAACAAAATTGGTTTTGGTCAGCCGACCACCACAACAGCACCAGGGTTTGGATTTGCAGCACCTCAACTCAATCAGTCAACATTGGGAGGGCCATTTGGTACAGGCAACCTCTTCAACAAACCTGCTACTACCACAGTTTCTGGTTTCGGTGTTAATGCACAAGCACCAACACTTTTTGGAGGTTGGAAATTCTTCCATCTCATTTTTTAATTCGATGTCTTTTTATTGTTAAACATTTTTTCATTTATCTTCTGTATACAGATGATTGATAATGTGCAAGGAAAGCTATGAATATATTGGATATATTAAAAAAAATATGCTGTTTCCATCCCATTCAGGTTTCAATAATCCCACGAGCAATGCTACTCAGTTTGGTAGTCTGGGAGCAAGCACGGGGACCTCATTGTTTGGACAGCAGAAGCCTGCCGGTTCATTATTTGGAAATAACACTGGTAATATTAACATGATTCTCATTGATTTCTAGGTCACTTTACTAGTGCCATTAAAATAAAACAAAAACAAAATTAAGATCAAACATAGTTTCATTGAATCTTGATCTATGTCAAAGTGGTTCTTAGTTTGTTTTATTAAGATTTAATACCAAATGGCCACCATTTGGCCACCATCAAGTCCAGAAATCATTTGATTTCTGGACTTGTTCACAATTAAAGCAGGCTTTCAGCAATATGCTGCTCATTTTATTTAGTTAACAACTTTGCCAATCCTTCATCAATGATAACAATTATGTGTTTAAACTATTAACACGACACTCATTATATTATATTATTCCAAGGCATACCAACACCAGAACTATGTAAATATTATTTGCAGGGTTTGCGTCCAACACGAATGCACTGGGTGGAACGGGTGCAGGGACCAACTCTCTGCTCGGAGGTGGCTCACTTGGAGGCACATTTGGATCCTCCTCTTTCAACATCTTCGGCAGTCAATCGCAGCAGCAACCACTGAATGCTGATGCTGCCTTAATACAACAAAAGCAGCAGATACAACAACATATACAAGCTCTTAATACGTCGCCATATGGAGACTCACCACTTTTCAAAAATTTAAAGAAGGTTGTTTTTCTGCCGATGTATGTTTATGAGAAAATAAATTGTTATGAGATGAATTACCAACCATGCTACAGACGGATGTTGATTGATCCTCCTTCTATCATGTAATTAATTGTAGAAACAAACCCGACAGGACGATATGTTGAGGCCGACGAATGCAGAGGCTCAGAAAGCAGTCATCATCTCGCAACTCTCAAACAGCACGCCTGGATTGATCCTCTCCGGTGGAGGAAACCACCGACTGGCAATAAAAACTAAGCCATTACAAATGCAGACATTTTCTGGTGGAAAGGTTATTATATTTTTCTTCCTTTTCTTGTTTATTTTCCTTATTTTATGTTCTCCTTTGGCCATTCAGGCAAAAATAAGATACAAATTTTAATTAATTATAAATACTTTCGCAGTATAACTTGTTTGATGAGCTGGATCAAGATGAGAACTCGCAGGCAGCGTCGACGTTGGCGCCATCTGCCTCTGCTGCTGCCACTGCAGAGAGGTTCGTCCCTCGCAGAAATTTCAAGCAACTGAACATCAAGGCAATCATGGAGCAGCAACAGGCCAGCAATACTTCAAAAGAGGCTGCCTCATCAAAATGCAGCACTCAGAATTCCAGCAGTGTCGTTTTTGAGCTTAACACGTATGAACCTCATTTCATTTGGATTTTCAACCATTGCAAATATATGACGCATGCCTTGGTTATTTGTTGCTGTAATGAATGTGATAGTTTTTTAAGCTTTTATCCTTCCTCTCTATCGTTATTTAATTAATGTTTGTTGGAACAGATCCACTGGCAAACCTGTGAACGTCAGTTCTGAAAAAGTTGATAGGTAGGTTCACGTTGGTGTTATTTTGTTACGTGATACTGCTATGTCCCCATGTACTTTCTATGGAAATGATCAGAAATAAAATTTTAACCAACGTTATGTTGCAGTGAGGGCGTCAACAACACCATGGCTGAACTCCTATCGAAGAATCGAAACGTACTCGAAGTTTCAGACAACAATGATGACAAACATTCAAATAGTGTAAGTTCATTTTGTTTTGTGAGCCATTCATTCATGAATTGTGTTTCTTTATTTATAAATTGTTTAGAATGTTGTTTTGCAATAAAAAACATTGGATGATTAATTATTATAAACTTTTTTGCCACAAACCACAGACCGACCATAGTGAAAACTACCAAGTAAAAGAGAACCGTTTGCCACATCCGGCGGGAGTTGTCTTGACACGACCCGACTACTTCACCCTCCCAACTCTTGATGAAATGGTTGAAGTGATCGACCAGGATGGCAGGTGCATCGTGGATGATTTTGTCATCGGCAGGGAAGGATACGGCAACATTTTCTTTCCTGGCAAGATTGATGTCACAAATCTTAACCTGGATGAGATAGGTTGGCTGGTTGTTCATTAATTGTTAGACCGTTTTTTTGCTTGCATCGTTTGACACTCAACTGATTTCTTTAATGATGGGTCTGGTTAGAATGATTAAAAATATTTATCGAATATAAAGACATCACAAAACTTATATAACAAATGAGATTTAACACTATGTTCTTGCTACACACATTCTCTCACTCACTCTCTCTTTCTCTCTCTCTCTCTCTCTCTCTCTCTCTCTCTCTCTTTTTCTCACACACACATTCACACACATACACACACAGTGTTTTTTAGAAGAAAGGAGGTGGAGGTGTACCCCGTTGAATCAAGCAAGCCACCAGTAGGCGAGGGGTTGAATAGGACGGCTCAAGTCACGCTTGATCGCGTGTTTCCTGTTGACAAGACCACTGGAGAGCTTATAACAGTACGTTTGCATTTCATTCGTTTATTTGCTTTATCTATCGTTTTTTCTAAAGGGTTTTGAATTAGATTAAACATTTTCTTTTTAAATTTGATGAAACAGATGTAAATAGCTTTAATTGAAGTTTAATTTTGTTGTTGTTGTTGTTGACATTACATCTCCACATCTTAGGATTACACTCGTCTCGTTGCCATGGGGTACATGGACAAGCTGGAAAGAAACGCTGTAAAGATGAATGCGAAGTTTGTTGAGTACAGACCGACTACAGGATCGTTTGTTTTCATTGTCAGTCTTGTTTTACTCACTAACAACATGCACCTTTAAATGTTTATAATGTGCTGCTGATTTCCTTGTTCTGTGCCGAGGATGTTTTGTGTGTGTGTTTTTTTTGCTGTTTTATTGTGTACTTCATGTGATTTTGTGTTATTTTATGTCGCTTACTTATCCAGGTGAATCACTTTTCAAAGTATACTGTAGCAGATGATGATTCTGATGACGATGCGGTTCTAGCGAAGGTTCTTTTGATGTTTTTATTAATTAATAATTTTATTTTTTAATTAGTTAATTTATTATGTATTTTTTGTACTGGGGTTAGTTACGAAAAATTAAATTTTTTTTTTAAATTATCAGATCTGCTTAATAATTTTATGAAGTTAAAAAAACAGCCTAAATAAAAATAAATATGATTTTTCTTATGTATGTAGTTGATATTTTATTACACTATCAAAGTTTTGAAACATTCTCTCAACAAAGTCACGCAAACAATTTATTGAACAGCAACTTCCCAAAGATCCTAACACACTGCAACAACCTCAACAATTGCAAACGTTAATGTCAACTGCAACGACGACAACAGTGCAGTCAGCTGATTACTTTAAACAGCAGCAAAACAAGCCAATCTTCACAACCAACCAGCAAACTCAGCAGCTGTTCCTCAGGGATCTCGATGAGGTGGAGATGGAAAAGGCGGAAGAAAGTGATGACATTGAAAATGACATGATGGATTATGAGAAAAAAGGTCAAAATTGTTATGATGTTTGTAATAATTCAGCTGTTAGCTTTTGTACTCTAGGGTAATAAATTTATTGTACACTTGAAACTTACTTCTTAATGTTGAGCTATCATTTTAACTGCAGTCATCTTGGTTGTATTATTTTATATTGCTGCTGATTTCTAATTGCTGCTTTTTATATTGATGGTGATGCTCTGGCAAATCCATATCCACATTACTATTTTTTATTATTTTTAAAAAATTGTTAATATTATTGTCATTCTTAAAATAGATGAGGCCAAACTGTTGAGACCGAAAGCCAAAAGACTTTACGATGACAATGATGATATTGAAGAGAGCAGTGATAAGAAGAACAAGCAAACCGATGATGTCGATGAAGAAGATGATACTGATTTTTACGGTTACAACAAAGAGAACACTTTCCCATCCTACCAAATGCTAAGGAACATTTCCGCTCACAGCATTCAACTGCAGAAGGCATCATTCTTCTGGGATAACGATAATCTTGGTGATGATGAGGAAGAGGGTGACGTCAGAAAGATTAAGATGGCCGCTGCAAAGATGAAGGATGTCATTGGCGGAAGTTTGTTAGGTTAATTGAAATACGAAGCAACGTGACTTCGATGTTTTACATATTGATTTTTTGGCTGCTTGTGCTAAAAATTATTTTGCAGTCCTTTGATGAATGAACCAAAATATTTTATTCATAAGATTAAAAATATTAGTTATTTATGTGAAAGATTTATTTGATGACTTATTAATGCTTGACTTATTAATATTTTGTTGTGTCACATTATTTTACTTGTTGATTCATCATTTCTAGCATTAGTTTCATATATTTTATATTATATAATATTTAATATGTTTTGAGCATGAATAAAGTGTTTTGAAACCTTTAATATTCTCTTGGGCGTTTTTATCAGAAGTTGTGCGATGTGTTAGTAGCTATCATTTGAGTTGTATTTTCATTCCAAGATATAGGGAACTTTTGAATTGAATCTTACAACTAATGAAGAACTCATTTCATTATTCAGCCGCCGATAGCAAAAGCTTATCGAAACCAGCTCAGTTGTTGAAGGAATTTGTTTCTTCACGAGAGAAAGATGGTGAGTTGTGTAGAATGTTCGCCTGCTTATCATCTTATTATTTTATAAAAGTTTACATCGTTTTATCTTATTTAGTCAACTACTTGACAAATTTTTCATATTTTCAGATAATGTTATCGTAAAATGTATTTTTGCTGCTTATCACGTTATTAAAACTGTCGTCAGTATTCAATGTTTTTTTCTCATTTGGTAGTTTTAACGTTAATGTTTAAAAAGCAAAATATTTTTACCAGATGATAATTTTGGGAGCGAATCGATGATGAAGATAAACACGTCGGGCAAACAAAACCAAAAACTTCAACCCCTTCCATCTCCCGCCCCTCAAATGCCATACCGTTCACCTCATCCTATTATTTGCTGCATGGAACTTCCAGATGATTCAGATAAAAAACTTGTTGAAATATTCAGGAAAAATAGGCAAAATTTGGTTTCCAAAGTGAGTTTAAAATCCTGCTTTCCAGGCGCAGTTGACAGAACGTTAACAGATATAAGCTTGTACCAGAGAGGTGCAACGAGGGTTGGCTGGCAAAAAGGTAGGTGGAGTTTCTGCCACTCGTCATTACCCGTCACCTCTCTCGAAGGTTCGTAATGGAAGGATGAGGAAGTTTTCATTATTTTCAAAATTTAGTAATTCAGTTGCTGTTATGAAAAAACGTTCTATTTTTTTCTTTCCAAAACTCAATTTCTTTTTAATCAGTGCATACATAAGCTCTTTAATTTTATTCTTTCAACTGCATCGAATTCTCAGCTCGCCTGTTTGTTTGCTCTTTACTTTTTATTTCCAAACTACTACTATATTCTACCAACAGTATTTCAACTTGTTCATATCATTTTTCATTTTTAAACTTCTAATAATTTCCGAATTTGTGTTTCTTTTAAATTTTCATTTTAGAATGTATCAGATATGTTAAGCGATTTTTGTCATTGAGTCGGTTTACATTTGTACATCTAATTTTTTATTTTATATTTGTTTTATAGCGATCAGACTTAATTGTCCTAAGAAGAAAATTACTAAACTTCTCTGCTGCTTTTACATTTTTCTCATTTCAACTCGTTTTTCATCATATCAACTAAAAAAAAGCGCTTTGTTTTGAAATAATGAATTTGTTGATTCTTTACATTACTGACTACTGACCTCAATCACGTAAACACCATCAGAAAACGATAATGAGGTTAGTTTGTCGGCAAAGTTGATGCACGAGAGAACAAGACAGACTGAGGCGAACATCAAGACACACAACTTACCAACCATCCTTCATGAACAAATCATTGTGCCCGGTAGTAAGGATCAGAATGTTGATAGGATGGTAAGTAAAGACGGTCCTCTTGTTGCAGTAGTTGTTTGATGTCTATGATCATAACAGTGCTGATTTTAAGTTGAAGATAACAGGAGTGATGGCGGTGATGTTAATTACGACCGTGGTCATATTTTGTGATGTTGATAGTTTGTATTTTTATGTGTGAACATAAAAATTAGCTAAAATCAGGTGGCTACTAAGTTGCCGCTAAAAATTTTATCTATAATTTCAACGTGGCAGGCTATCTTAGAGCAGTGCCTTTCAACGGAGCTGAATCACTGCAAGGTACTTAGGTCGGATGATGATATCTTGCACGAAAGAAGTCACATTCACGATCACAGTGCAGACATTCACATGGAAGATGATGAAGATAACTCCGATGGTCAACCTAGAAAAACATTGACAGATCCCAGTCTTATTGACTGTCCATTCGTATCATTTGCTCATGACGCTCAATCACTAATGAATGAATTGGTTGATCGATTGAAATCTAGCGAGGCTCAGTCACGTTGGTATTTTCATTTGTAAATTTGGTTTTTGGCCGCATTTTTATAATATTTTTATCATTTTCTTATGTCACCATCGCTAATTAATTACATTGAATTTGTTTAATTTCTCATTTTATTAGTATTTGTTTAGTATTTGTATTTTATATTTGATTTTCAGTGTTCCAACGAATGTTTTTAATTTAATTTTAGTTTAAAAACAATTATTATTTTTCAAAAGATTGGACTAAAGTTATGTTGTCAGCCCTGGAGTTGTGCCTGGTGTTGTGGGGCAGTTTGAATGGTCCCCATCGAAACTACAATGACGACGACGATGATGACGCAGACGTTGGTAGTCAGGATTATTATTACACTCAGAAGAGGAGGAAAGATAGGCTGTCAGCCTGGCTGTCCAAGGAAGTTCAACAAAAAATTGAGGAGGAGGTCTGTTTATTGGAATTGATTGAATAATTGGTTGGTTGATTGATTAATTGATTGATGATTTGTCAACTGAATTTAGAATATTAGTTAGTGATGTTTGGCATTTTATTTTCTCCAATGGGACAACAACAGGACATCATTTTATGGGAATTGTAAGAAAACAGTTTGCACGCGCATTATTATAAAAACATTTATGTTTGTGAGGTTTGGGACATTGAATCACAATGCTGAATGCTAAATCACTACGAAAAACAGGTTCAACAAATTTATTCAAAAAAGTCTAGAAGTGAGGATGATGATGGACAGGTGACCTATTTGTATATGACTGGTCGACTGATGGAAGAAGCCATCCAATCAGCTTTGGAGGTCAAAGACTATCGACTGGCCATGCTTATTTCTCAGGCTATCGGTAATGATGATGTGAGGCTGGAGTTGAAGAAACAGCTGATTGGCTGGTGTACAACCGAGGTTTGCTCTTCAAATGTGCTTCATTGTAGCAGTGTTTGCTTGTGTTGTTTGTGTTTGTGGCTGCGTGTTTAGTGGTCGGTCAGTTGTTTTCTATTGCTATTTTTTTGGCTTTATGAAGTTTCCATTTTTTTCTGATTTTAAATTGAACAGATTTTATACTTGCTTGGCTGTGGACTTTGTTAGGCCGTTTTGAAGTGTCAATTTTCACTGACAATTGGTTCTTCTTGCGAATAATGAACAGTTTTAATGGTTGCTTGACTATTAAGAAATGCTTCAAACTTTTAAAGATGAATAGGATTGACTTTTGCCTGCACAACATCTTAAAAATACATTGATACTCCTGACTCATAAATGTAATCGCACTTAAATTTCAAACGCGTAAAAACAGATGGATAGATTCATAAGCAAGCCTCGCCTTTCTATCTGCACACTCCTCTCCGGCAGTCTTGTTCAGAAGACTTCCCAGGAAGTCATCAACTGCTGCCATCAACTTGATTGGAAGAGGTGCTTTGCCATGCACCTCTGGTTGGTTTGATGATATTCGTATTTCATTAATTCTTGTTTTATTCTCCAAACTGCGATGTTACATTGTTTCGATATATCAGTGTAAAACATATGAATATGTGGTTGGCATACATGACGATTCCACGTTACATAGATAATATTGTGTTAATATCTCACATGAAGGTATGCCTGTCCAGCGACGTGCTTGATATCAGAAGCATTGGAAAGATATGATGCCAGCTACCGAGGCGAGGAGATGCACGGTGCAATATCTGTAGCACCACTGCCACAGTATTTGGAAAACTTGGGTGTTCTTCAGAACGAGGATGGCGCCCCGTGTGACGTCACCTACCATCTCTTGAAGTTGTACTGTCTGGAGGATCACCCGCTCTACAAACTGCTCAGTCCAAGGACCTTCATCGATGATGAAATGGATTACAGTGGCAGGCTAGTGGTGATGATGATGACGATGATGCAAAATAAGAATTATAATGATAATGCAGTAATTTCAGAAGATATCTGTTTAGATAAGTTTTATTTTATATGAATAGATGATCCATTTTAATAAATATAAGTAATTGGTTTTTGTAAACAATAAAGTCATAGACTTAAATTGTTAATTACCAGTTGGCACATGATGAAAGTCTTGGAGTCCTTGCGTTTTGGTAACTTGAGTACACACCATCACATGTATATATGCCACAGCTACGCCAGTCAGCTGGAAAGTCTCGGCCTCTGGTGGTGGAGTGTCTTCGTTCTCATGCACATCACTCATCCGCTTATGTAAGCCGTTTTTTGCTTGGTCCTTGTGTTATTGGTTTGGAGTAACAACGTTTCTTATTTATTTGATTGACAGTCGCAAGAATAGTGTGAAGAAGGTGATTGAACGTAACGTTGAAATCATGAAGCAGAGGGATGATGAGGATGGGGAGCACGATGATGAGGACGACGTTCTGCTGAATGATAAGGAAATGTTCGTTGTTGACAAACTGAAGATACCTGCCGAATGGCTTCATGAGGCTAAGGTTTTTAAAGAACTATTTCTTTATTTTCTGTAATGTTCACGTTTTTCAACACCTTTTTTTAACTCACCTTTCTAGTCTGTGGTGTCCGCTATTTAATAATAATGGCAATTTTTATATATAAAAGCTCTTAAAATAAATAAAAGAAACAGATTAAAAATGATAAATGGAATTGTTTTATTGCCAACCACTCAATTCTGCCTACCTAACTTCCTACCTACCTACCTTCCCACCAGGCCATCAAATGTCAGTGGTTGAACATGCCCCATCTCGAAGCCAAACATTCCTTCCTAGCTCGCAGGTACAATCGTTACCACGACATCATCATCGGCAGGAGTGTCGCATCCAGAATCATCATCAACGACGACCTCCGATCCTATTTGTACTGGCTGAACAGGCTGAGAGACGGCGGACCCTGTGGCTCGCTCTTCAAGGAGCGCGAAGTAGCGACGTACTTGAATTACATGCAACTCTTGCAGGCAGTCAATAAAATGGAAGTCGTTCGTCTGGATGAAGGAGGATTGGAGGTGAAATGGATGGATTGATTGTTGATTGAAGGGTGGATAAGTCTATCCTGATGGATAGAATGTGCGCGTGGTTGGATAGACTGAGAGAAATTATAGATGGATAAATGATTGGATGGCGAAATGGTACCTTATGCAGAAGTTTGTTTTACCGTATGTGGGATGATGTGCTTCAATATTTAATTAATGCAACAGGACAAGGAAATTTTGGAGATGAGAATGACACTCTACAGTGATCAAATGGCCGAACAGCTGAAAAATTTCAAATGCAACAACTCCACGGACAGGTTTTTATAACTTTGGCACTTTAATAAAAAATATTAATTGTTGTATAATTGTTTCGTTTATTCATTATTCCAACGTGGCACATTATAATGATATTAAACATATTTGATGTCACTAGTGTCGCAAGCGTGTCATGAGTGGTGATGCCACAAAAAATAAAATAATAATTATTAAATTACGCTTCCAACTTCACGATCTTCAATGATCATCTATTTATTATATATGTAATCGAGCGTTACTAAAGCGCGTTTAAACTCACAGAAAATAATTGAATTTTTCGTGTAACTAATGTTTAATTTAAAATTCTGTTATAAAATGGGAAAAATAGAATCAACCTTAGAGTTACTGTAAATCTGAAGAAGTGTTGATACACCAGATGAATAATAAGGATCATTCTGACGACTTTTTGTATGTGCTGCTGATGCTGAGTTGACAAAATGAGATGATTGTTATGTTTGCACGTAGATATGATGAGTAATAATTATGAATTGAACTTTAATTCGTCAGGTTGGCCTACATGAAAATGTTTAGAGTTCTTGCTAAGGCCGTTAACTTGAGATCCGTCAAAACAGATCACGATTTGTTAGTGCCTCTCACGTTTTCTCATTTGATGCTTGATTTTTATTTTTGTTGAATTTCTAAAAAAATAAGTCTTTCAAAGTGGTCGTAATTAATATTATTACAATTGATACGATATATTGCCGAATGATAAATGCCAATGTTGGTTTGCTTATGCAATTAATATTGTCTCTAATTAATAAATGAAATCGATTTTAAATATTGTTAAACATTTGTTTAATCTAAAATTTTTCCTAACAATTTTCATTGGTAATGTAATTATGTAAAATATAATTACAGATCAGTATGTTTGATAAAATGGAAGTTTCCACTATCGTACGATGCGTTGCACTGTGGAAGTCTGGACGATGTGACGACGCACGCCACACAGTCAAACAGCGATGGACTCTGCAGCAGTTACAACTCTCATCTTCAATCTGGCGATATTTTATCGGCCTTATTGAAGGCATGAGTAGAAAGATTAGAAGCGATTGAATAAACTATCCTGTGACATAGATCGTGACAATGGTGATGAGGACGGTGCCTTAGGTGTGATGACTTGTACGCTATCGTATTAAATATTGTAGATTTATGAGGTGATGATGCCCCTTTTACAAACAATACCATCTCATATATATCATATATATATATCATATATATATATATATATATATATATATATATATATATGATTGAGGGATATATATATATAAAATATATACATATATATACATACATATATATATATATATATACATATATATATATTGAAGGAGACCATATTTTATACAGGATTGTATGAATTCTACAGAATTTTTTGGATTACACACACACATATATAATATTCACGTGAAGCCTAAGTTGTTAAATATGATTAAATTAGTGTGCACATTATCTTATATAAATTATACAAATCTGTTATTTATTGACGAAATTAATAAGAATTTTTTTTAATATTATCTTGTAACGATATACAATGGAGATATACAGGGCAATGGCTAAATTAAATTTTAAAAGTTCGCCCGTTTTAATGCTGCTATGAAGGGTGCATGTATGTATTGTATGCTGTTTATGTACATTAATAAACTACTTTTTTTCATTAACTGGTCACTGTCATTTTCTTAATGACATTTTAGAGGTCATATTCGATGACTACCTTTGTGATGAACGTGGCTGTATACCTGTTTTTAAAAAACCTTGGTTTTTTTAAAAAACTAAGTTCAAATTCTCACAATTTAGGCTTTTTAAAAAAATTGAAAAGCTTAAATTCCTAACATTTCCGTATTTTCCAATTCGTTTTGTAAGCTTATTTTTTAAATATCATATACTACATCGGTTTTGACAAGATTTGATCATAAAATGTAAAAGGCTGAAAGTTTCGAAAGACTAGTATACAAAAATTGGAAATACCTAGGTTTCAACAATCCTTATAACTGACGAAGACAAGTGATTTGCTTTAAATTCTTATTCTTTACATGAACATTATTATTATGCGTATTGGTTTCATTTTAATTGTCTGAATTCACGAATATATATTTTAATAAACTTCGAAAACACGGTCCCAAGTTTCATGGAACGTTTAGTACTGTTAAGTAACATAATTTATTAAATTGTTTCCGATAAATTCACACAATATTTTTATATTTTTGCGTGTTATCTGGATTCACCCGACGTTTGAATTGCATTATTAACGACCCTAGACAACTCCGTAACTTCGTTATTTTCTAAAAAATTTTATTTTGTTTCGTTTATGTCATTAGGTAGCAAAACACAAAATAAAATGATATAAATAATAATGAAGCTATGGAGTTGTCAACAATTGTGATAATGACCAAATTATAATAAATTCGGAATATTAACTAGGAAATTATTAATAACTGTATTAATAAAATGCTTAAGTCTTTAAAAATTTTCCAGAAATGTTACAAATACAGTTTATGACATTTTTCTACAGATTTATCATGAGGACCAACACCTGAGGGGGACATATTTTGTCGATCAACTTGATAAAATCAAACTGCAATTGATAACTACAAAAATGTTTTATATTGATCGATTTGTTTTGATGATTGATTTGTTGTAATCAGTTCAAAAATAAAATATAAGAAAAAAAAGAATATCAGATTAAAATATTTAAATGAGCTTGAACACGCTAATTTCACTACTCCCAATGTATGACACGAACAGACGTCTCGAAATTATATCGACGCAAAGTCTAAACGGCTTGTATTCCAAATCTATAAAACCCTTGAAACCTAATCTAACATCGAAGATAACTATTCTTTGATTTTCGTGGTCGCAAATGTATAGGACTTGATTGTTGTCCATCACCATGTAACAGAGGCCGTTCATTTTGGAGTCCATCGGCGTCGGACGGTCCAGGCTCGTCACGATGTTTCTTTGGACATCAAATAAAAAAATTCTGTTTTTGCATCCTTCTTCAATTCCAACGTAACAATCTTTACTTATTTGAGTTACTTTATAAATATGATTGCATTCGCGCGGAAAAAAGATTCTCTTCCAACGGAAATCCGTCGGACAGAATTCTATCAATTTATTAGAAAAACTGGTCACAAGTAAACGGTTCATTGAAGTGACGGATAATGTTGAGAATGGTTTATATATTTTTATTTGCTTAGAAGTTTCTCTGCCGGAATCAACGACGTGCAATTCATTGGTTTCACTTTCAGTTATATACAATTTTGCGGCTATAATTTCAACATCATATGGATTACATAAATTTTCAACGTCAAAACTGTATACAAAGCTCAACTGCTTGCTGTCGTACACTCTTATAGTCGAACTTTCACATGCCAGAACGTAAAGAAAGTTGTTTCTTATCGACATTGCAGCTACCGAGAATCCAACATCGACCGAATTAAGTAGATATGTTGGACTTTTCTCATCTGCACATGAATAAAAATTTTTAGTTACGCTATTGTATGGAGCCATTTTATTACATTTTTCACAATTTTGAAAAATTAAACAGTTATTAAGCATATTGTCATTAATATTTATAGACTAACTTCTTATTTCAAAAGAACCAACTATTTCTTTAATCAAGTTGCGTGAGTTATCTGGCGTTTTGAATATTACCTCTGGAAACAAAACATGATCTTTAGGAATATTCTCTAAGCTGGAGACCTCAAAATATGAGCATTTATCAAATGAATTGTTTAAAACGTCGTGTAAATTCTCTTCATTTTCTTCTTGGGCTCTGTAAAATTTTTCCAAAATTTCTAGTTTATATCTTTCTGTTTTGTGAGAAAGACTTATCAACAATTCTGAAACTGATTTATCAATCAATTTTTTCAAATCTTCTCTCCAATTCATAATTTTTTGGTTAACATTTTCTATGCTTTTTTCAAAATTTAAGCAGCTTATATTTACTTTCTGAATTTCTTCTTCAATTATTAAGCAATTTGATAACAAAATGTTAATTTGTTCTTCCTTATTTTTATTTTTGTGGAATCCAGAAAGAAATTCAAATGGGCTCAGCATAGAATGATTGCTTGGCAAATGGTTTTTGATGAATTCTTCATATGAACAACATAACAGGCAACAAACACAATGAACTAGTGAAGAGCTACTAAGATTTGTGTCTTTGTTCTGTAATGTTAGATAAAAACTAATTTTGGTTTTGTTCTTATATATAATTTTAATTGAAAATTATTCTTCGGCTGCTTCAAAAATCAAACACATATTTAAATGGATGAAACAAAAGATTGTATAAATTTTCAAATTTCTTTTAATACAATTAAAAAATGAACAAAAAAATAAAACATTGCACAAAGCTTGAAATTAAATATTGGAGCCAAAATAATGAAACAAAGTCAAAGTGTTAAAATGGTAGTAAAAGGATAATAGTCGTAGTTAAGAAGTACTGATGTCATTTCAATAACTCAAACATTAGAAAGAACGCTGAAATTGATTATCATTAGATTAGATTAGACTTTATTTAGGATGAAAAGTGTAAGCAGCGTTTGTTGTCACAGATTGGAGATGCAGATAGCAGAATGAAGTAGATACAATGGAAAGGGTTTGAAATACAAAGACTTTTTTAGTTTTTTAATTCAAAATGTGCATCAAATGAAGTAAAGCCATTGCATTTTTATTTATTTATTTTATATTGTATTGCTTGATCATCATCGTCATGGGATATCATTTTTGAACAAAGCTCAAACAGTTCCATTTAAAAAAGGATAAAATCTGGCAATAGTTAACCTCAGTTGTCCCTGTTGATTGTTGGAGAACGTCACAAACGTTGCCACTGGCATCGGAATCTACCACGATCTTCATAGTTCCAGGCACCGGAATAATGCCACTTTCGATTCTGAAACTAGGAATTACCCGCATAGACGTAGCAATGTCATTTTAATTTTAACTTTCTAAAAAATATATAAACAAATAATTTCATATTTAATTTGTGAAATGTATACTATTTTGTTAAATATTTTAGATAAATTTCACATAGCCTAAAAAATTAAATTTTAAAGACATAAATATGTTTTTTAGTTTCAAAACAACAACTAAATTTACTACTAATGAAAAATAAATTCTTAAAAAATTAAATTAATCGATGTGTTAGCATCGATGTGGACTCCCAAAAGGAATGGAATGGACCACATCATGTTGAAATAGCTTCTATGTTGGAGAACTCCAGTGTTTCGCCACAGAATAAAGCCAGGCAAATGACGGCAAAGAGTGAAATGGGCTCAGCATGGCTGAATGCAATACCAAATACCATGGTAAAAGGCCATCAGATTGAGTTTGGGTTTGAGGCTTTGTTTGGCAATAGTTTCAAAATATACATACCTGTGTGGGGCGAATGTTTGTCCGCTTGGTTATCACGGTCTCTCACGTAAGCTTGGCTCAGATAGGCAGGCTCGTCACACTGCCATGAATGATTAATTAAGTTTATTTCAAAAAACAAAGATCCGCGCCATTAAGGAGCCGGCAGGTTTGATAGGTTTTAGACCAGATTGAAATACATTGGTTCCATGGTCTCATTGACTTTGACTGATCTGTGACGTTACGTTCTCTCACACATTGGCAGAAAGACATAATCACAGATCCATATAATCAGGATCAGCTGCTTTAAAAGTGGCTGATTTTAAGAATAACAAATATAAGGACTTGAATAACGATACGAAAATTTTTATCCCAGTCTGCATTGAAACTTTCGACCCGGTTGACAAAATGACAAGAACACACTTTTTTTTTATTGACACTGTTAGGTGGTAGTCGCCCAGTTCGCCACTCTGCAATTAATGACTCCATTTGCTATCGGAATTTCAGCTCAGGATGGTAAGCGTCCGGATGGCTGCAAATGTACCGTACCGTAGCTGAAAATATTCAAATGAATGCTGACAGTTAGTTACGATTAAACCACATACATAATATATGCATACATGTACAATTGTACATACATACTTATATAATACATACACACATACATACGTACATACATACATACATACATACATACATACATACATACATACATACATACATACATACATACATACATACATACATACATACATACACACACACACACACACACACACACACATACACACATACATACATACATACATACATACATACACACACACACACACATACATACATACATACATACATACATACATACATACATACATACATACATACATACATACATACATACATACAAACACATACACACTTGCGTACATTTATTTTATACATACATATACTCAAACGCGTATCTATATATTGTATAGAAACACAATACACATACACTCAATACTGATACAATGCGTGTACATACACTATACACACACATACATACATATGTATTGATGTTATGGTTGTTATTTCTATGGCTGTGTGAAGTTTATGCTATAAGGACTGACTACTATACTAGCAACAAACACTAATATTAATTACAGTCTAGACGTTCTTTGTCCCCAATTCCATGCAAAATGTAAATATCAGATGGATTAGTAGCTGTTGTGAGTTTAAAAAATAGAAAAAATTTAATCAAACTTTATTATTTCTGCAATTTTAGATTATTCAATTTTAAATGAAAAATTTCTTTTTTGCGTCGTTTATTTTTATTTCTGAAAAGTATTTTTCCAAATTTTTTATATTATTTTTACTGTCTGACTGGGTTTCTGAAATCAACAAGTTTGTTTTTTCTAATTTTGTTTAAATTAAAATTTAATAGTAAGTAAAATTTTATAGAATTTTATAAAGAAAAGCATGCGGCAGAACTAGGCAAAAATCGGAGATATGTCCTGGGCCATGCCCGGGCATAACTAATGGCCTAAGGGACTTCTAATCTAACTAAATTACTAAACAAGCAGTAACATCTCAAACTTTTTGGTTTGTTACTGTTGTTGTTACAGACTAATAATAATAATGAAAATATTATAATAATTATTCAATTGTTGTTATGAAGAGTATTTTAATTTAATTTTAATCAAATTGTTAAAATTATTGTTGTACTTTTTGCAAGTTTTACTTTCATCTCTAAAATAATAGAAAAAGTAGTTTTTCATCAATTGTCATCTTATTTAAAATTTAAACTCTAACAGTTAGAGAGATACAGGTAAATCTGGTTTCATACCTGCTCACAGTACTGAAACTTCTTTACTCAAAATACACAATGATATCCTTCTCTCTAGTGACAGTAGTAATCTTACTCTTCTTCTTTCTCTTGACTTTTCCTCAGCTTTTGATACTGTTGATCATACTATTCTCCTTAGGCTGCTACATCTTTCTTTTAATATTACTGATTCTTGTCTATCTTGGTTTTCTTTTTATCTCTGTAATCATTTTTCTTCTGTTGTTCTCAATAATTCTACTTCTACTTATAAAATATAGAATAAGTATAAGTCTCAATCTAAATTATTTCCTAAGTATTTATCAGATATATTAATTGAACCTAAACGCCCCGGTTTACGATCATCTTCTTGTTCTCGCTTCTTCTTAACTCGTGTTAAACACTCTTTTGCGAAATCTGCTTTTGCTTTTTCTGGCCCTTTTCTCTGGAACTCTCTACCTACTTCTCTGACTACTTCTCCATCACTTTTGAAGTTCAGACCCATCTGTTTTCAAAATTCATCGAGTAGCGCTGTTGAACATCGCGGAAATAGCATTTTACAAGCTAATTGATTGATAAAAACTATTGCAAATCTTACCCTACTTTACATCAACCAGGAGGATGGTTCTGTCTGGATCTCTGTTTTAATTTTTACCAAAAAAAAAACTGAAATTATTTTTTAGCTTTTCTCTTAGAGAGTCCAATTGATTTTTTCTTCTCAGGCTCGCTAAACAGTAAAGACCACTCTGATTTAAAAATAATTCTTTAATTTAGTAGTGCATTTCATCCATAAATTTTAAAATTTCATTTTATTTTTTTATTGTATTATTTTTCTATTTCGTTATCACTTTTTCAGTAAAAAATTGAAATTGAATTTGAAATAGTTTTTTTTTATAAATTTACAAAATTGTTATGTTTGTTTACACTTTTTTTTAAACAACAACAAATTCTTATCTGCAAAATGCTCTTGATTCAAATTGGATAAGTGAAGCTTTTAAATTAAAAACAATTATAAGAAATTAAAAAGCAAAGTTGAAATATTAAAAATACTGCATGATTATAACTATAATTATATTAAAATTGATTACTTTTTGTACAATATAAGTTGTTATTTCCATCCTCGCATACCTTGCATGTAGTTACTTTCTCTGCTGTCTGACAGAGTTTGTTTACAGAATTTGCATTCAACAAAAATTGTAAAAGGTATGTAAATAAATTAAAAATTTAAATAATAGTTACATAATGCTTATCGTATTTTTACTTGTACATTATACTAACTGAATTTTGATTATTTTATTACTTTGTGTGTAAGTTCCTATATTATTTTTTAAAAAGATGACAATTAACCTTGTTTACAACTTCTTCCAAATAAGGCTGCTGCTGTTGTTACCTGATGCAAAAAACATTGCATAATATTACTTAATTACCTTTTTATTGTTTTAATTTTTTCTGCCACAATCACGAAGCACTTGTTTTGGCGTAGTCTTTTTTAGACCGCATCTAATGAAATTTCGTTCCAGAATCATTTTTTATGAGTTTTTTTTAAAAGTTATAAGTGTTAAAAAACTGTTTCAACAACAAAAAATTTAGTTGCATTTTGATGAGGAAATATTAAGTTTTAAAAAAGTTTTCAAAATCACTTTTGTTTACTTTACTCATTAAAAAAATCGTCTTTTATTTGAATAAATGTAAACAGTCTAGAGCTAGTCTTTTTGAAAAAAAAAATATTTGTCTGATTTGATATTGTGAATTATTATTATTTACTTTTAGCTTATTTTTGCATTCAAAGATTAAATTGTGGAATCATTTTTGAAAATAAAATCTGCATTTTTAAAAAATTATTTTTCTCTAAAAATGTTCATTTACTTTTGATAACTTCACTCTTAACATTATATATACCCTTTTTTTTTTTAGAAGGAAATTCAGTTGATCTGAAAGCAAGACATGTATTGAAGATGATGATATGCCATGATGATGATGATGATGATGATGATGATGATGATGATGATGATGTGATTAATATAGTGATGATCATTCTCTCTGCTTCTGCTTCTAACAACTCACTTGACAGAATTTCATAACAAGTATGGCTTTTATTATTCCCAACATGCTAGCTTATTATTATTTTTTTTATTATTATTTTTATTATTATTGTGATTATTGTTATTATTGTTGTTATTGTTATTGTTGTTATTATTGTTATTATTATTAATGTTGTCATTTTTTATCTTGACATCATCATTTTTTGTCCTACTCACTGATTGTTTAGTAATTTGGATGAAATGTATTCAATTGACTTTTTTGTATTATTCACCATGGTGGCTAGTATTGCTCATGGCATTTTCTATGATTTAATATTGTGTTCTTATATATATTTTTATTGTCTTTGAACAATTCACTATATAATAATGGCTCTATTCATTCCACACAATTGACTCAACAGCTTCATGATTTATTTCAGATTTTTAAAATAAAGTTATTATTGAAATAATAAGACATTTTTTGTTTCTTTATAAATATGAAAGAATTTTTTGAATTTGATTTAATATTCTATGTGAATTCAAAATGAGTGAATCTACTGCCTTCCTATATTTTACTTAACAGATAGTGATTGTTCATTTTGTTGTGCTGTATCTTGCTTTTATCACATGCACACTCATAAAAACACACATACACACACACACACATACACACATAAACACAAACACACACATTAAATTTTTCTCATTATTACTCTAAGCTTGATCAGGTATATGTAGTGCATGTACACACTTTTAGATACAGTGTATACTGTGGATGAATGTATTTATAGATCTCTATTAAGCTAATTATAATCCTACCTTTATTTATGATAATTTAATCCAGTACTAAATGTATGTATCTCATGTTACCTATTATATTGCAATACATTTAGATCAGTGAGCTTTCACAATTATTGGACAGGTTAGAAACTCTACAACTTTAACAATTGGTGGCAGACTGGCCTATCTTTATTCTGTTCTTTCTTGAGCCATTTCTGGTTGCTAGCAATAAGTTTTCACATTCTTTGCGACATTTTCTTTAAGGTGTATTTAGGTCCTTCATTTGGGTTGACGTTTCCCAAATTTTAAAGTTTTTATTTTTGTATTTAAAAAATTTACTTTGCTATCTCGGTCTTGTACTTCCATGTCATCAAATTGGAAGGAAGTATATCATTAGAACCCTTTTTCAATATCTTTTTCATCTTAAATATTCTTTTCATCACAGTTCATTTAATTACTAACTTGAAATTTCAGATGTAAAAATCCTGGAACTCTTATGTTATTTCACAGTTTCAACTGAGTGACATCAATTACAAATAAATGCTATTGCTCAATTAAGACTTCTTTTTTTTATTTCAATGTCTGCAGGGCCATCTTCACATTTTGTACACAATTAGCAATTTTCCAAACACTTTGCCATGAAGTGCACATGGAAATTTATGGCATTCCAAAATATTTTATCTCACTACCGTATCATTTTTGTTCCACTTATATTTTCCTTGGTTCGTATTTTTTTAAATTTCAGTTTTTCCATTTGTACTTGCCTACAATTTATTAAAATAATAAGTAGACATTCAGTTTAGAAGCTTTATTCCCATTTGAATCATTTCTTTAAAAAATGATCATTGCGTTCATACATATACTAGCGATGTTCTTTGTGCTTTTGATTCGTATAAATTTATATTAATTTCATTGAGCTATCTAAAAATGACAGAAACCACAAAATCTACAT